TTTCCGTGACCTCATCTCTTATTCTCTCGACAGTCCGAGATACACCACTACGTGGAAGATGAAACAGGTTGCTGGATCAAGTACATCTACAACCCCGAATCGATCTCTTATACACCGCGCGCATAGGAGCGGCACGCCCTGCTGTCGGCTGGTTCCGCCGTTGGCCCCTCAAGCAGGAAGCCTCTCTTTTCAGGTGTTTCGGCGAGGGGCCCCGCTACTCTATCGCTGAGTTTCATGCTCGGTTGCGCTGCTTGGAAATTATTGTAATTACGGTAAGGTTGTAGTATTGTACATGGTATGTCTTAGCCACGGCCAGCCACGGTAACGTCTGAGCCACGCCAATGTCTGAGCCACGGTAACGTCTGAGCCACGCCAGTGTCTGAGCCACGGTAACGTCTGAGCCACGCCAACGTCTGAGCCGCGCCGGTGTCTTAGCCGTGCCGTGGTCTTAGCTAACGAAACACTATGCGGGGTAATTCACCAGTAAATGCCTTATATCAGGAAAATAGTGTATGGGTGGTAGAACATAAGACTTGAGCAGCTAAGACAAGGTGAAAAAATGGTAATGTATCATAATTCCGTTTCTCTACTTTCAAGAGCTTATGCCCCAGTGGCGTGGCGCGTTGAGGTTACTTCTAGGTCTCAGGTTCGATTCCCGCTTATGCCATTTTTTGGGCTTTTCAGAAATTCTTCAGCGTGTCTTAGCCGCTCATGGGCGCTTCTGGGTGGCTAGTCCGGTGTAACTTAATAAGTTCCCGTGTCTAGGCCGCCGAACTGAATCAGCTCTGCGGAGAGCTGTCTCGAGTCGTGAGCGAGCGCACCAGGGGAGCAGCAACGAAGGGTCTTACCGCGGCAATCTACAGATCGTACAGCGTGGTAGTCGTGAGCGGAATAAGCTTGCGCATGGCGTGCACCTGGTAAAACCACTGCCAACCCGCCCACCACCAGTTCGCCGAGCCAGGCGGGAGCACGGAGGGATTGGCCGAGAAGCGCGCACTCAGGGCACACACGAGCAGCACCGTAGCACCGAAGCCTTCGTCTGTCAAGTGTAGTCCTGAGGCGATACTCTGTAGGAACGTAGGACGGTGCAGCAGAGGGAAGTTGACGTGGATGGTCAGGAAGTACTCGTCGAGGAGCTCGTTCATGATTGCAGGTTCCGGGAATTCTGTGTATGGAGGGCTTGGCGGGAAGATATCCTATTGCGTGCCGTTAAGTACCGAGGTCAGTGTGAGTGTGGCCCAGACTAGCTAAGGTCTTACCATGTCACATAACCAGAATTCTGAACGCCAGTTGGAAAACATTGTGGGACTACACATCCGGCTATGTAACGGGATTTGCCTGCTTTTTACGAGATCCTGCTTCATTTGTACTGCAGCCCTGATGAGAGCGTAGCCGCTGGACCGGCCCATGAAGCGGCAAATGTCACGTGTATCGTCGGGAGCCATGTACTTGAAGCCTTCCAGAAAGCCCTCATCTTCATCGGTCTTCTCTTTCTTGGCAGAAACTTCCGTGACAGATGACAGTCGATCGGGAAAGTATGCCAGAGTCCTCACCATGGACTCACTTGCGATATGGGGTTTTTCGAGTTGGGCAAGCTTTAATCGTAGCTGTTCGATGTATTGAGATCGTTCTGCGCGCACCGTCGCGGTGTCACATATATCAGACGACATACCTGCTGGACCAGAAGCTGCAATCTGGCGACTTCCATTTCCAGAACCCTGACATACCTGCGGTACCCTCAATCGCGGTCCACTTTAGTCTAAAACGCATTTCGATAATTACTCGCCGTCCACATAACGCCTCTGAAGAAGTGTGAGGGACAGCCTTACAGATGGCATTGGCGGGTGTCTAACGCACCTCTGCACTTCCAGCGTATGTACATTCACTTCCGAATGCTACGCAGGTTGAGCACGACTTTCCTTCTTCCCCGTGGCCTAGCAGTTACTGGGTAAGCAAAATATATCCTCTGATGCCGATGATCACCCACATCGCACTGCCCTCACAAAGTGACGTGGACCGCGGCAATTTAGCACGCTTTGCTCATAACATACGGCGGGGCATACCTTTCTTCTTCTTGCACAAATCACAGGCTCTAGAGGATTTCTTCTTCGCGGAATGCTCACCCCTGTTTCTGTCGCCCATTTCCCCAAGTAGACGCAATGGCGGGTGACAAAGTCGGATAGAGTCCTGTAAAGCCGCCAAGTGCAGATACCTTCCCTCGCTGCCAGCTAGCTAGCAGGATTGCCAGGAAAACGTAGAGTGTGGCTCTTTGTGACGCCTCAACGAGCGGGCTCGCTCCGTATGAGGACGGCAAGATGGGTGCTGTGGAGAGTTTGAAGGGCCTCATAGTCTATGTCGCAATCAATTAGTTGAGTGTCGGCGCGGAAGGAACATGACCAACGTACAGTCCAGGTCGGAGATGAAATCGATGAACAACGCCACAACAATGAGTAAGGAGAGAGTGTTCCGTCTCCGTCGTGGTGAAATTTGGTTCTGACGCGATAATTCCAAGTCCGGAAGCATGGAGTACAGAGCGCCAGATATGTGTTACATAAGGCGTCCTATCATTTAAGTTCGCGCACGAAGAGCACAGTGAGTCAGCTCGGACACTGCGGGCTGAAGCCCTAAAAAGATCGCCTGCGTCCCTTCACTCTCCGATTGAACGCACGGTCGCGCTTCAAAATCCCCCGCACTCAGCGGCAGCGCTCTGTCGGAGAATTTGCCCCGACGGAAAGTATTGTGGCGCGACGTGCGATATAACCGCGAGCGAGTTCTCGTGAGAGGGTGGAGGCAGCAGGCCTGCAAGAATCGCCTCGAGGTTCGGATCGGACGCGTATGCACCGTCGGGGGCCGGTGGCGATACGGGTTGCCACTGCGCACCAACGCTTTGTTGTGCGGGTGGGTTGTACCGGTAGCTGCCGGTGTTAAGGGCCTCGCCACTGGGCAGACTATTGGGATCCGAATCATTAGTGTATGGAGGCGGCGCTTGAGGATGGTGACGTTGACTGGGCGTCGCTATCGCGCCTCTGCTCGTGCGCTCCTCGCACCCGGCCCACCATTTTCCGAAAGATTTAAACATGCACAGCGTCTTATAGACACACTCGAGCTTCTCTGCAACATCAACAGCATGATGATCGCAGACGATAACAGTGACGCCTACGGTGTGCATGTCAATCATATCTTACATGCGACGCAAAAGATCTCGTACGAGAGGATACCGGTAGATCATCGCCGAGCCAGACAGCGTAAAGTGCCTGTTGACGACCTGGATGCACTGCCGTAGCGCGCTCGTGCAAATAGCGAGCGACGGGAAGGGTAGCGGCACGTGCCTGCGCGCGGATGAAGATGCGCAAGTTGTAGTACGATGCGTGGTGCGAGGCAGATTGGCCAGCGAAGGAGAAGCTGTCTTCCCTGATAGGATTGTATTTCACTGTGCATAGTCGGCAAGGCGGCCGAAACAATTTATTTATGCGCACGGTGCTCGGGGATCGAGTCTACCTACTGATTCAGCTCCGAGTCCAGCTCTGCAACAATCTGCTGAGAAGGGGTCAGCGAGAATCTTATCTCCTTGCGGCGAGTACTGCGATCATGTGAGCTTCTCTGACAGAGTTCAGATAGAGCCGTTGGGACATGTGCGTGTATCTGCTCCAAGTTGAGGACGCCGTTGAAGTGCACGGTGGTCGAAGGCCATCCCGTGGGCTACTTGAACGCCTTCTGTGGATAGTCCGTCACACATTCTCTTTATCGCATTCGATAGGATAGTCGACGTCGGAGCTGGCAGTGTAAAGGACAGGGCGCTAACGCTTCCCTTATTGGACGATAGCACAGGGTGGTAAGCGCAGTTTTTTTCTCAAGAAAACTCAGACAAAAGCGGCTAAACAAGGCCCCGTTATTCCTCGATTCTACGCCGATGCAAATTGAGGAGAAACCGGTGCAAAACCAGCCAAAAGGGTCTAAAACACAGTAAAACTGGCGGAAAAATGAGTTCTGCCTTCGGTTTTTTTCAGTGAAAACCGGATAAAGTTGGGGTCTTGTTGGATCAGTTTTTGGCTGATTTTACGCCGGAAAAAAGTGCGCTTACCACCCAGTGTAGGCTTGGTGACGCAGCGCGCGCGCGCGCCTCGTCCCTCGTCGAGACTCGGCCTGGCCTGGGCCCTCGACACCTCGTTTTCGTTCAGAGACTTAAAAAGGGACATCTACACGCACCCTCGTCTTCAATGCTGCAAGGACTCTCTAAGATAGCACATATGCCTCTTTCTACCGTCACCAACTTGAAGCACTTATGCAAAGGTCGCTCTTAAGTTGCAAGTGATGATGAACTGCGTCATACTCGGCCTAGTGTACACCTCCAAGGTGATCAGTTTATGGAAGAACACTATGTGTCTACAAATAGTCTATTTAGTTTGTACTTCTGTTACTCATAATCAAAATTCGAAAGCGACAGCGATAGTTTAGGGGCATCTCCAGCAAGACAGGAGCGAAGCATTGTTCGTTACTACACAACATTCACAATACTTCTCAGGTTTGCTGTACGCATAGTAGAACCGTGATCTTCCTGCGTAGAATCCGGCGTGGGCAAAATGTGAGGCTGAGGCTGAAGGGCATCACAATCTTCCTCAACGTTGTGTCGTATTGGCAGTGCGGTGGTCTTTAACGTCCGTAGCATAGAAAGGTCTGGGATGCTGATTAATTTGCGTACGCGATAAGGTATTGTTGATTGTATTTACCAGAGCGGTGGCTACAGAAGATAGCCTCAAGTACTCGTCCGACATGGCGGGCCGCTGTCTCTTGTGAGCGCACAAAATTCCACACCGTCTTTGGGTCCAGCGAAGGCTTATTCGTTTTCTGTAGCTTGACAGAGCCTTCAGACGGCTTCATACAGCCTGTTCCATCTTCAGGAGGAGGAAAGAGCTGCCCGACTGTGCGAAGCGTCAGCATGAACTGAGAACACGTCCAAATCTCTGGTGACGTACGCCCCCCCTCTCCAATATAGATCTTCGGCTGGACTTGGCAAATGTGAGCGGCGATATCTTCAGGCCAATTCGACAGCTAAAGGTTGTCGTCAGCTTTATAGTCGCATCTAGACTCTGCTATACTCACATCGCACACGGTGTACAAATCGTCGTGACTGGCGATCGCGGCTTGTGCATCGGAATGCTACATGGTATAGGAATATTGAACAGGGACCACTCATAATCACAGGTGCGTACCTCGAGAATATAGTCGAGCAGGTAGTCAAGAGGATCATAAAACTACGCTTACAGTCAGTGCACAGGAAGATAAATGGCAGAGGCCATACAACGACACCTGTACCTCTTCTTCTGATCCATCGTCCACTATGCGGGAATCCGGCTCACCCTCGAACGCATAAACCTTTGCCTTCGTTTTGCCTTTACCCGACGCTGAACTAGTGTTTGATCTTTGGGAACCACTTCCCGTCTCCGCATTGCGGTGCGCATCGTGGCTGGCAGAGTTGGAGGGGGGAGTCCTATGGCGGCGTACCAGCATGCCTGTCGACGGGTCATCGTCGTTGCCGCCCGAGTCTTTCGAGTTGACTCCAGAGACGATGTGTTTAAACTTCCAAAGTCTCAGTTTGAGCTTGTAGTAGCTGATGAACATCGTTTGGTCGAGGACTTGCGGCGGGGGGCCCTCGGCGACGTTCGACCCGGCGCGGCCTGGTCCACGCCGTTGCCTCATTCCCACATTGTCGCTAGATGTATGCGACCAGTTGAAGCGAGGCGATGTGAAGTAGAGGGCCTCCGCACTAAAGGATATCCTGTGCCCTCGTTCGCTGCTCTCGCAACTTGCAATGGCCCACCTGTTGGATGCTCTAACGTGGCCGCGGACAAGGTAGATATCGCCACGGCGTAGTGCGTGCCCTCTATCTGACGCGAAGTTGTACCAGGACTCGTAATTATTCGCCATGTAGGTCGGAAGAGACTGGTTGTTCAACGTTGCCGTGGATGTAGCGGGATCAGCTACCACAGCCATTGCTGCTCGCTTATTATAGCAGGTGAAACAGTACGACAACTGCAGTAGGCCATTGCTGCTGTACGAGTTAGCGTATACATAGGGTGCTGCAGCAGTAGAAACGCGACACGCACACCTCGACGCCTGCTTGCGAGTCGCAATGCACTGATGAATTGTTATAGAGAGCGCCTGCCGGTAGGGAGTTGCAAAGCGGATGGATGAACTCGGTCTCATCAAAGTTGACGAGTTCGAATCCGTCTGGAACGCCACGACTGTTCAGTGGATCGTCTGCGGGCTTCAGTGCATTAAAGAGACGATAGAAACAGCCATTCTGGATGAAGCCAGCGTCACCGATCTCTGGAATACCGAAAGTCGGCGGCTCCGGTTGCCAGAGTGGTAGACCTAGGCCACAGCTGATGAGCTGCTGGGCGTATACGTGCGAAGGGTCATGAATAGGCATGAGAGTGGTAAGCAAGGTTGAGAGGAATTCGACTATAGTTATAGTACGGCCTGAAAACGCAACCTGGGGTATGATCTGACATGCCGCAAGGGAGTGACTCGATATATGTAGAGCGCAATATGCTGAGCCGGCTCGCAAGCTATCATCACTGCGAACTTCCCGATAGGCTGTATGATTCTGAAATGGCGATGCCAAACTATGCCATACGTGCGGATACAACGTGCTTCCAGAACCTTATTACCTTGAACCATTACATGAACCATTCAAGTCTTCCGTGAACGGCATACTAGCCTTTCCACTCGCACGGACGCCTTCCCCATAAGCGGAAGGATGCACCAGTACTCTGGCCTTTTGATATCCCCTACTCAGAATCAAGGTCAGCACAATAGACAGTATCGACATACTCTCCCATCGAGTTGAGCGCCGAAATCGATCCTGTTATCCACATCAGCTCCTTCTAGACTCACAGCCTTCCTGTGTAACGTGCTCATGGTGATCCATGGGTGTCAATGAAAGGCGTGCTGACCAGGATTAGGATCCTAGTTTGATGCAAGAACCGATACCAATCGACTGACATGGGGCGGTGTACATGCCGTCAAAGCGTAGATTATATCATTTATGAGAGCTCCCGCGTGTCACTGCCTTGTATACGTCACATGCTCCCGGTTCTATGTGAGAACCCACCATTTGGAGGCAGATACTGACTCGAATTCCATCTGTCAGGGACTGGGAGTCAGCGATCGCGCATACGTGAAGAGAGAAAGGAGAAGCACGCACGATGAGCCTCCAGGTCCTGCACCCCACAATGGCGGCCCGGCCTCCGCAAGCGGTGCGCCTGACGTACCAGCGGACGGCCCGGGCGCGGCATGGAACGCAGGATGCGACGGTAGCGTTGACGAGCCGGGCTGTACCGGCCTCGCAAAGAACGGGGCTGGGTACTGCGGCGCGGTCTGCGTGAGCGCAGCGAACGCGTCTTCGTAGGACGCCACGGGGAGGAGGTCGGAGAAGATCGCGTCAAGGTCCAGATTCGTGCCTGCACCCTGCGGTACACTACCCATCCGCATCGATGTATCGAAGGGCTGACTCGCAGTGAATGCCATGTCCTCCAACGGCTGCCACGTCTCCTGCGTCGACATGTCAGTGAAGTCGAATTCACCCGCGCACGGCAGCCGGCCGAGTTCGTCGCTGTGCACGGGAAGTGTAAAGTCAAATTCGGTTGCGGAGAAGGCAGGGGCACCTGAAGTCGCGCCAGGAGACAGGGCAGACTGCTGGTACTGTTCCGCGCGTCTCGAGCCTGCAATGTCGCGAGACGGATGGGGCGCGCCGGAGGCTTGGAACGAAGCGTCTTGCTCCGCGCTGCTGCTGTTGCCGTCGTCTTCGCGCCTGCGCTTTTGGTGCAGGGGATCCTTCTGCTGCCCAGGAACATCGACGAAGTTAGCCAGGTCGTGCAGGATATCCCTAACATATATGTCAGCCCGGTTGTTTTGTCTAAACAGAAAATATAGCTGACATACCAGAATCGCCCAGCGGTGTTCCATCTGCAGGAATTACCAGTGTCAGAACCAGACGAACGATTGATTTGCGAATCGTTCGCACCTCGACTCCAAAGCCTGCAGCATATTTAGCGCTTTCTTAACATCCTGCATTTCCTTCGCGATGTCGACCGACAACCCGGTGTGCTTGCTGTACCATATGTTCAGCAGCAATATGATCGCCGCAGTGATCAGGGACAACTGCACGTTCCACGAATCAGGCTCTGCTTTCAATGCACGTCAACATGAACAACAGCGCACCTGGTGCCAGTGGTGGAAGAGTGCGGTGCCGAGCCGAGTATAATGCTTGTCCAAGACGTGTATCGTCGATCTCGCGGCGTTCGTGCATATGGCGAGCGAGGGGAAGGACAGAGGCGAAGGCTTGCGAGGCATAGGTATGAATGGCCGGTGCACAGCGATCTGTAACCCGTAGTATGCCGGGTAGAGCAGCGCGGACTGGTTCACGAAGAGTAGACTGGACTGGTCCGCGTCCCATTTGACTAGAGCACACTCTCAGATGAGCGAAGCGATAGGCTAGCAGGGTGAACCGTACACACGATGATCCGGTATCGAGTCAACCCACTTGTTCAGCTCTGAGTCGAGCTCGGAAACAAGCTGTTGCGCCCACTGAGGATCCGAGCGCACTCTGGCCATCGCACGGAGCGAGTACTGCAGGTACTTCAGCACTCAAGCTGCACTGCACGACTTCAGCACTTACAAGGTTTCGAAGAGTATATGCGTGGAGGCTTCCCAGCCGCAGGATGCGTACGAAGAACGACACTTTAGATGGTTTGCCTGGAGGCTGCTTGAATGCAAGCGCCGGGTCTTCGGTAACCCAATACTCGTCATCGCATTCGATGGGCAAGTCCAGATCGAAGCTGCGGGATTTGCGATGAGCGAAGCACAATGCAACAGTACACGCACGCACTCTTCATCTTGAACAGTACATGGTCTTCCCAGCGAGCCACACATACCTCTATCCATGGCCACCAAGCACCTAGAAAAGGGCGTAATCAGCAGGATGGCAGGCAGCGATATCACACCAAAACTTGCCAGAATGCCCGCTTCTTGAGTTCACTCTCCACAGTGGGCGTCGCGGGGTACGTCGTGCGGCGATGTGCACCCAAGTCCTGCGCAAGCCGCAGCCCGTAGCCTACGATGGAATACATCGCATACGGCACCGCCGTCGCCGCGACGTACGCCGCGAGGAGCTGCCCGCAACCGTCAGCACGCGGTCCGACGAGGGCAACACGAGAGAGAAGCGCGCACCGTGGTGACCTGCAGGTCGTACAGCCGCACGGCAGCGAGCGGCACGAGCTTGCGGCGGTCGCGGACCTGCGCGAACCACGGCCAGCCCGCCCAGTGCCAGTTCCGCGCGCCGTCGACGAGCACGGCGGGGTTCGACGAGAAGCGCGCCCCGATGGCGCACACGAGCAGGACGGTCGCGCCGAAGCCCTCGTCTGCGCGGTGCAGGCCCGCCCGGATCCCGGCCTCGAGCGTCGGCCGGTGCAGGAGCGGGAAGTTGGAGTTCAGGTGTAGGAAGAACTCGTCGATGAGCTCGAACATGAGCGGCGGCTCCGGGAAGGTTTCGTAGGGCGGGTCGGGCTTGATGAGGATCTTCGGGAAAGAAGATCGGCTTGTATACGCGCAGTGAGAGGCAAGATGCATGACTTACGGTGGCATCATCCCAAAATTCCGGACGCTGAGACGACAGTGCTCCACTCTCCCTGTCTGGGGACGAGTTCTCTGGCGACTGTGAGTACTCCTGCTTCAGGTCGATTGCTTTCCGGATTAGCATGAGGTTGCTCTCCCGACCAAGGAAGTGTGTCTCCTCAGTCTTGACGTTTAGGCTCTTGAAACCTTCGACGAGAATTTCTTCGTCTGTGTCTTCGCCCAGTAAGTCTTCTGCATCTGGAGTAAGGCGTGCCGTGCGTGGTAGGCCAGATGCGGTTTGCCACGCGCTGGAGGATACCGCTGAGTTTGTGAATTCTGACGGATTGCTGGACACATTCCGGAGTGCATGGATCTCGTATTGCAGCTGCATGATGCGTATGTGAGACCGAGAGTCATCTCGCGCAGGTCCCGAATCTAGGGCGCACCTTGCGGACCAGCAGCCGGACCTCTGTCAGCTCTTTTTCCAGATTCTGGACGTATCTGCAGCCTCCTCAGCCAGGTTTACACGCGCATATATGCACCGAAATACACACTCGACGTCGCAAAAGCGCTTCTGGAACGAGACTCAGTCGCATTTCGGGAGGAGAGCCATTATACTCACGTCTGTACCCGCGACGTATGTGCATTGATACTTGAACGACACACAGTTCGTACACCGACTCCCGTTCACCTCAGCTCCGTCGCCTGGCCCACGTATGATTCATATTTGCAGCCGTGGACAGCCTACAGCACACTCACATTTGACTTGTGAGCGAACGCGCAGCAAGTTCAGCCTACCTATACCGAGACGGAAGCGCACGCGGCACGTACCTTTTCGTCGTCTACACTGGTCGCATGCCCGCACCCGCCTCTTTTTCATCGCCTTCTCCGCCGCAGTCGTCGTGGTAGCTAGGTCGCTTCCGTCACTCGACATGACCACAGTTCGCAGGTGCCGCCACGGACTAGTTCAGTTTCCAGGCAAGGTTTTGTGAGGGACAAGTATGTCTTAGTAAGCCCAGCCTGAGCCTGATTCTATAGCCAGTACGAGTGCAGGCGACCCTAGTGGAGTGTGCGGCAAAGAGCAAGTATGACGAAGCACGGCGGGCGCTGTGGGTCACCATCGCAGACTCTCGTCCCTACCTATCGCGACATTGTTCCTCTGCGAGGAGCTATTCCGCAGACCTGTGCCGCGAAGATACGTAAGAGCCATATGTCTCACGGTGTCAGGGCACGATTCCGCAGCCGGAGTTGCGCCAGGATATCGATCATCCGGCGGGAAACGACCGCAACAGCGATCGGTTGTCGCGGTCGACCGCGGGGGGTTCGAGACCGCCATCAACCGCGCCACGATGCCTGCGCCGAATCTTGGCGATAAGCTTTCTAACGTGCATGCCACTGCTTGGACATACACTCCCGTGCAATACACTAGCTGCGAATAAGCTCTACTACTACGTGCATCCTTACATCCGAAGCAAACGGTAGAGACTCCGCTGAGAATGCAAGACATGAGCCAACCACATGGGCCGCATAACCTAAGCGTGAGTGACCTGGCACCCCCGGCGCAGTCCGTTCGCGGAGAGCTGAGGCTCAACTGCCACATCAGCAAATGAGAAAGCGGTGACAGGCGGTGCACGCCAATGCTGCATCCGCTGGCATCTTCCGCAAGCTTCGTACATCGCGTACAACACGGTCAGAAGGCCGACGTGGATTCTTGACTCGAAAATTGCACTCCGGAATCTGAGGAAAGAAGGGTGCAGGGCGCCATCAGACGGAATTCAAATCGCCATCAGATGGAGGGAACGGCGCATCAACTGCCGGATGCTTTGCATGGCGCTGGCACTGTCGTCTCCTCGCGCCCGAGCTAGGCGAGATGCAGCGTTGTCTGTATGCGAGACAGGTGTTGTAAGCACCTGTGATCATGTGGATAACCTCGACGCGACGAGTTTTGGGCTAAGCCAAACTTACCACTTGGGACGTCATTGGACCGCGTGTATCCTACGAAGTGGCTCAGCGTCCGCGTCAGGGTTAACTTTGCCTTACGAAAGACCATGAAGCGGAGAGATAAGCCTGGCATAAGGACATCGAGCTTCCGCTGACGCCGACCCCGGATCCGCACTGAAAGCATCGCGACCCTTGTTCCAGACAAGGACGCTGTAGCTCGCGCAGCTCAGGGCGAGACCCTGCTGTGAGCTTAATGAACATCCCCATTCATTTACCGCTGCCGCCCGAATAAACATAGACCAGCAATCTGAGGTCGTCTATGAGCAATTCAACAAGTCGATGTTGGGAACGTCCGGACACGTTCTGCGGGCACGATAGACTCTGCGCGCTTTGATAAACCTTTGGCCCTAAACAAGCTCGGAAGTAGCATAGGAAACATGCAGTCGTACAGTACTCCTGAGTATCAAACAAACGATGAGGCAATCTCATGCGTATGGAGAGCTGAGCTTGGAAGCGGTGGACGAGCAGAAGGGGACGTCAGGCAGATGCGCTCTGGGAACTCGAGGTGTATTTGTACAAGTTTGGGTACACTCCCACAGCCCTTTTTTTGTCTGGTTTTAGTGGAAGTCGCGTCCAGCCCCCACACCGACGCGTTGTCTCGCAACTTCATGCGCTCCTCTGTCCCAAAGTTCCACTCTCTCAACACCGCCGAGGCCAACGTCGTGGTCAGCGTGGCTCAAAGGACACCAACGCCATGCGTCGCTCCCCGACACGACCTTTGGAAGCTATAAGAGCTGCCCGACGCTTTTTCGTCTGTCGCCGTCTTTTTCTCTTTTCCTCACGCTCTTTTCTTCCCTATTTCTTCGCCTCTTACGCCGCCATTCGCGTCTGCATCGTGCCCCGCCCTTTGGCCTCGTTCGGCAATCCACTACTGCAGGAGTATGAAGCCTCGTGATCCATCACTAGGCTGGCTAGGCCTTACCCACTCGAAGATGGTGCTGTGGGATCGACCGTGGGGCTGGAATCTGTTTCTCCCGGGACAGGCGTGTCTCCGACCTCACTATTTGCACAGGCAACTCGAGCGTTGTGTCTCAAAGCACAGCATGTACGGCCGCAACAAAGAGCAGACCAGAAGAAATGCACAGCTCGCTTCCGCTTGGGAGGCTGCGACGGTCTGCGGCGGTCTGTCCGCGACGACGGCAACCAGGAAAAAGCGCGACGTTTGCGGAACATGGATGAGCCTGGCATATGGCCATTTCTGGCAGACGCCACAAGGGCGAGCTTCCCTGCAAATACTTCTCACGCTCTAGACCCCCGTGTCGGTTGCTGGACGCTTCTGGCGGAGCCTACTCCCTTCTCCGCGCTCTCCAAGCAGGTTCGGCAGCGTTCGTGACCTGGCACGACGTAAAGCGAGTGTCCACCGATGCCGCCCGTGGCACGCCCGGGCGCGTGACACTTTCCCGCCCCCACCCGTTCCCACCTGCATCAGAATATTGGAGTGCGCTATCACCATCCGCGGAAGCTGTTGGGCGTGGAGGACCGTGCGCCATGTCATGAGCGTGCACGTGGAGGTGGGCAGCGGCAAAGGGAGAAGCCGATGGATTATTCAGTGGAATTTCTGAGCGTGGGAATGCGTCGATGACAGTTGCGCGGCTGTCGCGAAGGCAAATTTCGCATGTGGGCATGGACCGAGCGGGGATCAAGCACTAGGCTCAACCAGGCGATTACCTTGACGGTCCACCTCTTATGAACAACACACCTCCGTCGCTCCCTTATATCAGCCCGCTCCCTTCGCTTGTCGCTCCAGATCATGTCTGTCTCTACAACTCCATCAACCGCCGCTCCGTCTCCTCGAGGGTATGTGTTTCGTATGTGCCCGTTGGTGAAATCATCTCATCGCACTGCAGCTCTGTGCCTCCCCTCGACGCGTCACAGCGTCGCTTCGGCTCTCCATCGTCCATCGTGTCCCAAGACTCGCGGCCAACGACGCCGCTCAGCATACAGCTAGACGACTATGGTCCCATGCTTGAACGTGAGAAGGACTTTGTACGTGGCATCAATGTCTCGTCTTATTTCAGGTGTACTCACGCGCATACAGTGCACCAACTTCAGCTGCTGCGGGCTGACCCTGCCAGACATGCATGCCCTCCTCGACCACTTTGAAGAGTCCCACGTCGTTGTCATCGGCGCCGATGGCAGGCCCGTGTACCCTGCCCCTCCTTCCCCATCACCCGCATCTTCTTCGCTATCAAATACGGCATTATCAAGCCCTAGCTCTCCTTATTCAAGGTATCTCCCCCACCTCGCTGGATATTCGTCGTCTCGCGCACCCGTCGCCAGCATTGTCATCGACTACCCGAAGCCGTATCCGCCAAGCGAATACCAAATGGCCACATCGCCGTTTGCCGACGTCCTCGATAGTGGGCTCGGCCTCGATTTTGGCTTCCCCGATATTGCAGACCCTTACGACCCGTTTGGCTTCGAGGCGCAAAACGCGCTCGCTCCTGCAATCGAGGTCGGCCCGCCATCACCCGTGTCGCCTGCCTCGCCTACGCTTAGCACTGCTCCAAGCATATTCGACAGCTTGACGGCGTCAACAGCGTCGAGTCCCGTCACGTCTGCCTTCTCTTCCCCGTCTCCGAAACTGGGCGAAGCCGCATGCTTGCCACCCTTGCCCTTCTCGCCAAAGCCTAGCGAACCCACCTGCGTGCCGCCGGCAATGCTTGAGAACCCGCAGCCGCGTGCCGACGGCACTGCTGCCTCGCCCAGCCAGTCTGTGTCCCCGGAGCCGTGCAGCATCCCACTCTCACTCTCGCGCCGCCAGCCGTATTATCGCGCTGAAACGGCGCCGTCGCCGTCCCCGACGCCAACCGCGTTCCGGCCGTACTACTCGCCCGCGCCGTCACCGTCGTCGTCGCGGCCGTCGCGTGCGGGCCAGGTGAAGGCGGAGCTCCTCGACCAGCCCGCGCACAGCATCAAGATCAGCGGGCGACGGAAGGACCGCGACCGCGAGAAGCAGTACCGGTGCCCGAACGCGAGCTGCACGAAGCGCTACCTGAACCCGAACGGACTCAAGTATCACGTCGAGAAGGGCACGTGCACGGACAAGGGGCCGCGGCCGTACGTGCGGAAGGCTGGCGCTGCTGGTCACTCCCCTGTGGCGGCGGCGTGAGCGATGCTATGTCGCCTGCCTCCGCTCGCGGTTCTTCGTTATTAATTGTATCATTAATGTGTACCAGGGCCTCGCCTTCGCTTTCTGCCCATGCGCGTGCGCATATGCTCATGCACCCACCCCTTTATCCGTCAATAGACTGTACGCATTAAAGATGCTCGTAGTTGTCTCCCTTCCTTTCCATAGAGTAGGCTCCTCATTAGTGTTGTAGGCTTTTTTTGTTGGTGCATCGCAGTACGTTGTTGTCGCGGGGCCCGTTTGAAACGAGGGCGCCTGCGGCCTTGAAAGTAGTATAAAAGGATTTTGTAGTTATACCTCCCTGTAATATACTTGGGTAATGAAGAGAATGTACATATGAATCGTATGCGCGCGACTGGAGGATCTGTAGCAGGTTCGAGCCTTGGACATAGTCCAACGTACCATTACGCGTCCCATCGACTATCAATTGGTCACGAGTACGTAGCTTCGCGAGGGATATTTGCCAGAATGCCCCTGCAAATCTTCGCCAAATACCACCTTGAAGATGGCAATCTGTCTTTCCATAATATCTCCAACCTTGACGACACAGGATATACGAATTTCGTCAGTCCTGTGTCTTGTACGCTCAGGCGGATGTAACTCGCCGCATTCACAGTGGGCATGGCCACTCGGGATGCGCACGGAAAGCCACACGCCGCCCCCAAGATCGTAACTGCACGCCGGAAGCATGGGTATGTTGGCCCTGGCGACATCTCTGGTCGCCGACGGCTGGCTCATCTTCTGCACGCGCGACCCTGGCGAGCATGACGCCAGATAATCGAGGGTCGCGATCGGCTCAAGCGGGAGCATCGACGTACGGGGGGAGCAGCAGCAACGCGAAGAGAGCGAAAGAGAGCTGCTGCCGGGCTGCATGCACGTGGGCGGGATCTGCAATCATGATTCTGGGGCTTTCGTACGCGCGTCGGACGTCTTACCGTCTATCCGTCTGTTGCACCACAACAGGGTGCATGCGATGCGTGTCGTAACGTGTAAGACAGAGACGGCTCTGGGGATGCCTGATGATGTGCGTGTGTTCGTGGAGGAACGTGTGCGTCGTCCCGAGCTGCCAGCTCACGTTTCGGTCAGCGCGAGCCCCGACATAGCGTCCGGGCCTGCTCGTGCTCGTTCTGGGCACAGCGCAGATCGCGCATGCCGTCTCGTCACCCGGCCGCACATCCACCGCGGACGCGCGCGCGATGAGGCCAGCGATAGATTGGACTGAAGGGCGAGTTGATGAGATGCCGGCGCCCCTGCAGGGCTGTTCGCGCGCGCACGCTCGTCTGGACTTCGCGAAGATGCGGGGGTGCCGTGACGCATCGCCGCATGTGATTGGCCGGCTGCCCGGCGGTGATGGGGGGCAGCGTCCGCTCGTGCAGAAAGGGTCTGTGTGCGAGTAAAGGTGCGGGTCCCAGGCCGAGGCACTGAAGCTCTGCTTATGGTATAGGCATGCTAGTGGGGGTCGCCTCGGAGAGCGGTCGCACAGAGTTGGGTATGCATGCTGGCTAGTGTAGCAAGGTTAAAGGTTAATGAAATGCGGGGCATTGTCACCTGGCTCGACCGTAATAGAGTAGGCACCACGGGCGGTGTAAACATGGGGTATGACCTAAAGACGACGTCCACATACTGAATGAGACGCGGTGATCCACACGCCGGCCGCGGACGGGTCAACATGAGCGGTGCAAGTCACGGAGGAGATGCTTGCTATGCGGGCTTCCCCGGGGCACACGTTGCGGGGAAACCAAATCATGGGTCGACATAGGAGTAAATACGCTGGGGTGTACTGCAGCGACGGAATCCTCGCACTCCGTGGCACAGTGCCTGCACGGAGGGAAAAAATTGCCGAGTTTGAGGAGGCAAACCCGCGGTACTCCTGTCTGGACCTGGTGAAACGAAACGCAGAAAATAAGAAAACAACTACGCAGGGCATGAGGCGGAGATTACACGTATATGGCGTAAATTAAGGACAGCAGCTTCTTGTACTCTTGCTAGCCTCCACTTCGGAAGTAGTTACGTGACACACATGTACTCCGCGCACTACGCCAACTCGAGCGAGTTTGTGGTGCCGACAGCGGGCCTGGACGGAGCTGTTATTTCCACATGACTTGTAGCTTCGTCAGAAAGGGAAAATTTACCAGATTTCGCCTTCACACAGTATTTCCAACGTCTGTACTTAGATCGTTAACAGGCTGAAAAATGCCGCACAGCTGAAATATGTCCTCCAGCGGCCGGAGTTGATCATTGTGGCGCCGGTGACAGTGGGATGCATTGCTGCGAAAAAGGAAAATCTGACGGGGTCCGGCGCGCTTTCAGCCTGGAAATGATAGGCGCATGGTTTCCCCATTCGGTGATCCGGACCGCGCAGACTGGATCAAACAAGCGCGCAGTGTCGGTCGTGACTTTCGCTTGCGCTTGTCGCCCAGATTCTCTCTCCCAACGACTGCCATCGTCAACTCGACGAGCTTGGGCCGCGTTGCCAGCAACGCCGCTCCGAACCGTTGCAACACACGCTACCATCTCCTCATCTCACGTCCCCGTTCGATCGAGGACAACGGGCGAGGCTCGGACTCATCCGACTCTGAACGACGATTCTGCACGACCTGCTGCTAGGTTTCTACCTCTCACCGGAAATTCCTCGTCGCACGCAAGGCCGTAGCTTCATCTTCCAGCTCTACAATTGTTTTCATACGCTTTTCACGCCCTCTCGCGCTCTCGATCGCTCTTTACCTGTCTTTTGTCTTCTCACCTGTACCATGATCGATTTTCCTTCCCCCATCCTGTCGGTGTCGGCGGACGTCCTCAAGGAGCTGGATGGCGAAGATGCACTGTTTGGAATGTGGACAGGTGTGTGGATGTTGGCTTCTGAGGCCGCTATGCGGGGCTGATGGCCCTTTAGTGTTCACAAAATGCAAGGAGTCGCTTAAGGATGGCCGACGCTTGGAGAATATGTCATGGCGGCTGTGGCATCGCGAAATGTCATACTCCCAATCTTCTGACTGCAGCTCATCGAGCTCTTCCGTATCGTCGCTCGCGAACACACGGTGCGCGACGCCAATTACCCCCGTCTCAGAAGCGGGTCCCACGGATGGTGTGTCGCCATTTATGCGCTACATCGCATCCTAACTAACCTGCTCAGCGCTACCTGTACCTCCAGGGAACGACTCGAGCGATTCGCTTAGACCCGCAGCCATCGGTCCCACTCGACACTCGTGGCATGGCGAAGGCGTTCCCCATCCTGCGACACGCCGGCTTAGCACCGCGAGCATGCCTGTTCGCCCGCGTACACGCTCAAGTTCTGCGCAGCGTGTGGGGTCGATAATTGCGGACATCCTACCCAGCAAGGTGGTGGTGCCTGTGCGCACACACACGTATCCAGGTTCGAGTACAAACACGCGGAAGCATATGGTGCCTGGATCGGGCTCAGGCACGGCACGGCCAAGTCCCGCCCAGTCTGCTACGCCGACGGTGACTCTCCTGCACCCGAAGCCTCAGCCCGCCCTGCCGATGGTTCAGTTGCCGTCGACGCCTCCAAATGTCGGAGCACCCCGCGTCGTCGTTGTCAACCCTACGCCCCACCCCACGCCCCCGGCCACTCCCCATCCTTCCCACACCACCACATTTTCTGGACCGGCACCAACCCATCTCGCTCCTCCCGTGCGTCCGGCGCTGACCATGTACCAAGCTGCACCGCCTGCTGTATCTAGGCCGACAACCGCCGCTGCATCATCGTCGTCATCCAATCCAGATGCTCCGGGGGCGAATCCGGAGAAAACATCAGCTGCGGTACCACCCCACGCTGCTACCGTGCAATCACGGAACGACGAGACACTAAAGCCTTCCGACCGGCGCTTCTTCCTGCAGACTGCAGAATCACCTGACCGGGAATCGCCAGACGCGCGGGCAACTGGTCCGCGCAGGCCCGCGGGAGCACCCGAACCCAGCCCAAGCAACAGCGCGACATCGAGCCGCAGTAATGTCAAGTCTGACGTCCCTGCACCCAAGCGCGCGATGAGCAAGCCGAACGTTCGCCGCGGCAAGGAAGTCTCGCGGCTCGCCACGGTGCGGGCAGGGAAGGCGGCGGCGCAACGGCCTGCCGTTCAAAAGCGGGCCATCGAGCCGAGGAAGACTACGTTTAACATCGGTTCCGTATCGTCTAACAGCACTAACAGAGACGGAAAGAGCACTGAGATAAGGTCCCCCGAGCCCCAACAGAGCAAAGCCGTCCCTAAACCGCGCCCGCCGAGTCCAGCTAAGCAGCCCGCCGCCGCTCCTGCGCGCAAAGGCCTGGTCATGAGTATTTCCTCCGAGTACACGACCGACTCGGACGACGAATCGGAGTGGGCGGACGACAACAGCAACAACAGCGCGGACGAGAAGGAGAAGGAGCGGCAGCGCGAAGAGACACGTTTGCGCGAAGCGGCCGAGGAAGCTCAGCGTCAGCGCGATCTCTTCGCCAAGGTTCCAAAGCGGTCGTACTCGAGCCTCAACAGGACTAAATCAGGACTGCTGTCGCAGCTTCTGAAACCTGACCCGACTATCTTCCCTGCGAACCACCCTTATCGTACCAGTTACTCTTCGCAGGACATGACGCAACTGGCCAAGCAGGGTGGGCGACTACCTCCGACCAGCCACCTGACCAGCAGGAGCTCCATCGCGGTTCCACTCGCCACGCAGATAACACCACTCACTGCTCAGGTGTCGCCCAGCGATGGCACGAATCAGCCCTACCGCCCCAAGGGCCGTCCTGAAGGGGCGGAGATGGAAACTGACTCGGAAGACGACCAGGATAACGACATCCAGGTTTCGCGAAGTCTCGCTCAACAAAAACTTGCCGCCCTCGCTAGCCCTTCACGTCGTCGTACCGCAGATCAGGTACCTCAGCAGCAACCGCCTCCACAGCCGCGCGCCGCACAGCCCACGGTTGCGACACCACAGGTTCCTGTCAGAAACCAGCGTGTCGCAGGGCTGACCGCGGCCGTCACCGCGCCGATCCCGCTCGGACATCCCTACAATCTGCCAGCGCCAGCGCCGCCAATGACGCCCCGGACGACGCGGCGGAAGATGCTTGCCACGGAGCTCTCCGAAAGCCTGCGCCGGAACCTGCTCTGGGAGCGCCAGGTGAGTAAGCTGAACCTGACAAGCGGCGCGCGTCGCGGCGGGCTCGTGGGCTCGCGCCTGCAGCCCATGACGGCTGTCAACCCAGAGCAGCAGGGCGGAGGTAGCAACTCTGGGCAGAGGACTCCCGTGGACGAGCAGGAGCAGCGTCGGCTGGCGGCAAAGGCCCGTACACGAAGTTGGGCCGACGATTATCACTATGCCGGCTGGTGAACACCGGCGGCTGGGCATGCTTCATATCGCACGTAACTGCGAACGATCTTGTTCATTTCTTTTTTTGCGTTCTCTTATCAAGGTGTACATTATGTCTGGGTAGCGCCGCCGGGTGCGTAGGTCTGTCGTTCATGGGTTTCGTATTCCTCTCCTTCCTACACATGTTCTTGCTTGTCTCGCCGTATCCTACTCATCCATAACGCCATCCATCCATCATCATCCACCATCCAATCCTCTACACCATTCATTTCACTCTCAGTTTCACGGTACTTAACTCTCACGTCCTAGCACACTCGCATGCGAGTCGGAGTAGGCTGCTTTTGCACACTGCACCGGCTCGTCTCATTGGCATCTGCATCATAATATGTAGCTCTCTGTCTTTCTTTCTTCTTTTGCTGTCATCGTATCTGGGTGCGGGAGCTTTGTACGTGGCGACGTCGGTGTATGCTCTACCGCTTTGTAGCGCTCGCATGCACATCACGTCTCTGGCCCGAGTTCTCGTATGTAGGCTACCTTAATGTGTACTTGTATGGTCTGTTGCATAGTGTAAATAGTGCTATTTCTACGTGAACGTCCGAGAGGCTTGGCTCATCGTCCGCGTGTTTCGCCTACCTGTCTGCCTGCGTCTACGCGGCGGCCGTGCTGATCAACCGTACGTTTGAGTTCTCAGGCCGCCGTTGATATGCGACGAACCTCCCCCGTGTGCGTCGAGCAGCTGGTTCTCCCTGGCGAATCCGCGAACCTTCAGCGGACAACAGGTTGCGTCTGGACCGGTACCTGCCCACACCGCGACCGGCAGACGGTCTGGACATCCGTGCCAAGCGCCACATAAACCTGGCGTGCGATGCACGAACATCGGCAGGTAAATTGAGGCTAAGCCTGCTCATATTTCGATACCTATTTTTATTTATTTTTGCTCACTGCCTTCGCTCTCGTGTTGCCCCGACGGCGCACAGGCGCATCATCACAAGCGACGCTGTCCAATTTAGGCAATCCCGCCTCTTGCAGGTCGACCACCGAAAATGCTATCTTACTCGCCATTCTCACCCCAGCGCATTCTCTTCGACGAGGTCGCATGCCAGGCTACGATGCATCCCTTGCCAGTTTCATGGCGAGACAGAAGCCATCCGGCGCTCCGGCGAAGAAACAGCCCGTATATACTCTAGATCTGCTTTGCACCGCTTTCACCCTTTTCTCTGTGGCTCATCGCCTTGCGTCTTCTCCACAGCCCGCACGAAGCGCACTCGAGGCCCGGGCGATGCTCTCGTCATGCGTTTTTGCTTCGGCGCGACAATCTGGATGATCTGCTGCGCAACTCTCAATAGACCGCGCAAAGCCCTTGATATTCAGCAGCTCTTCTGTCTACACTCGGCTCGGCAGTAAAGTCTAGCGAGGCCTTGAGCGATACGCCGTCCAGGATTATCGTGTTTCACATAGAACACGGAAGCGACCACCGCAGCGTCCGGCGTATCCAGCATTGTCGAGCGGCTGTCCAAATCGTTGCCTCCTGAACACATTCCACATCTTGTAAGACACCGGCACGCTCAATTTGCTCAGCCACTGACCGCAGGAGCAGACGACGTCAAGCCTTATATCCGTTCTCGCGCGAATCCCTCATAAGCCAGGCTATCAGACCCCTCAACAGACAACTTTTCCACGCCTCGGGCCCCGACCATGTCATCAGACGACGAAAGCCAAACCGAGCATGAGGATGGCCTGCCGCAGGGCCTGAAGAAGAGACGTGTTCAGAGGGCTTGTGACACATGTCGGAGAAAGAAAGGTAGGAGCCAGAGCGAGTCCTTAAGTGCGCTCATGCTCACTGAGGCCGGCTGTATCTAGTTCGCTGTGCGTACCCGAACTGTCCGCTGCTGCCCTGTGCCTGGCTCACTTAATGATATATTCTGCAGGCGATGGAGGGTCAATGCCAAATAACCGATGTACGAACTGTATCACGTATAACCAAGAGTGCTCGTATGTCGAGGCGGCGAAGGTGCGTCTGAAGCTTCAATCTATCGTGACCGCTCCGTTGACATCAAACTCAGAAACGAGGGCCCCCGAAAGGGTACGTTGCACGATGGATAGTCTTGGTGAATATGTGAACTCAATATTGGGCAGCTATGTCGAAGGCCTCGAGAACAGAGTGGTCAAAATGGAGAAGCTACTCCTGAAGGTAGAGCTCCCACTTCACACAGCTCGCTTGTCCCGCTAACGTTCTGTGTAGCTCTGTCCTGATGGCGATATATTCGAAGAGCTTGGCGGCTCGTTTGACAAGGACGCTTGGCTCACGAATCGCGGTCCCACAAAGAAAGTTGCGGGCCCCTCTGTCGCCTGCAGCGAAAGCCAAAGGCGAGCCCCGCAACCCAAGCTGCCTCCCGTTGACGCAGACGATCTGGACACCAGTGACGACGAGCTGACGAAGACGACTACGCTCGAGAGTCGCATGGGAGATGTTACGATTGATCCCATACATCCGCGCTTCTTCGGCAAGTCGAGCAGCGTAATGTTCCTACAGACGGCCATGGCTCTCAAGCAGACCTATTCCGGTAGCGAACCTGCTCGTGCGCCCGACGGGCGCAGAAGGATAGCGCCTTGCAAACGTCCTGAGTACTGGCGTGCGCACTCGGCAAGCTGCTTTCTCTACCACATATCCCACCTGCTAACGTCCGCACAGTGGGTTATGGAATCCCTTGAAAACCCGAAAGCGCATACAAACTTCCCGCCCAAAGATCTCATGACCCACCTTATCGACCGATACTTTGCGCGAATGAACGTGCAAATCCCGTTGCTGCACCGGCCGACGTTCGAGAAAGGCATCGTTGACAGCCTGCACCGGCGCGACGAGGGCTTCGGTTCGACGGTGCTCCTCGTATGCGCGCTCGGTGCGCGCTGGTCAGATGACCCGCGCGTGATTCTACCTGGCACGGGCAGCGGACATTCGGCGGGCTGGGAATGGTTCCGGCAGGTGCAGTGGGTCCGGAGGTCGCTTCTGTCTCCGCCGAGGCTGTACGACCTGCAGATCTGTTGCGTGCGTACCGCCAATTACAATGAGTTGGTCATATGCTAACTTGAACCAGCTAACTTCCATGTTCTTGCATGGCTCGTCGACGCCGCAGTCGTCGTGGACGGTCATTGGGACGGGCATTCGGCTTGCGCAGGATGTCGGCGCCCACCGCCGCAAGGTGTACAACTCCAACAAGAGGACTGTGGAGGACGAGTTGTGGAAGCGAGCATTCTGGGTTCTGGTGACTCTGGATCGCTTCATTAGCTCTGCGCTTGGTCGTCCTTGCGCTATACACGACGAAGAGTCAGTAGCCATTTCTCATCCTTTCGACAATTCTAATTTAATATCCAGCTTTGATCTGGAAATGCCTATCGAGTGCGACGACGAGTACTGGATACATGCCGATCCCGAGCAAGCCTTCAAGCAGCCGCCTGGGAAGCCGTCGAAGATATCAGCTTTCAACTGCCTGCTGCGCCTGAACCAAATTCTTGCTTTTTCGCTTCGCACAATAGTAAGTGCACTTATATTCTTGCTCATGCACGCCGCTGACATAGAATGCAGTACTCCATTAATAAATCGAAGGTGATGTTGGGCTTTGTCGGCCCCCAGTGGGAGCAACACATTGTCGCTGAGCTCGATTCAGCGCTGAACAAATGGATTGACTCGGTGCCAAACCACTTGCGCTGGGACCCGAACCTCGAAGACAAGGAGTTCTTTACGCAGTCGGCCTTTCTGTACGCGGCATACTATCACCTGCAGATCGCGGTGCATCGGCCGTTCATACCATCCCCGCGGAAGCCTTCGGCGCTATCGTTCCCATCGCTGGCTATCTGCACGAACGCGGCGCGATCATGCATCCATGTACTGGATGTGCAGTTCAAGCGTGACGGGTACCCGCCAGTAAACAGCATGATGGGAGTCTTCTCGTCGACGATTGTGCTCCTGCTGAGTATCTGGGGCGGAAAGAAAGCGGGCCTCGCGATCGACTACGAGAAGGGCATGGAGGACGTGCACAAGGCGATGGGGATGCTGAAAGCGCTGGAGGTGAAGTGGCACACCGCGGGGCGTATCTGGTGGGCACCTTCCGCCGACTCGTTAAAGCTGTGTCTGACGACTGTGTGCAGGGACATCTTGTACGAACTCGCAAGTGCTGGAGAACTACCGCTGCCAGATGCGAGTTCTCCGGCGAGCAACAAGCGGGACCGCGACTCTGATGATGTGCACAACTCTCCGGAGAGTAGCGCATCGCTTGATACGGGCTCTGATGAGCCACGACACATCGCTGGTTCGAAACGCGCCTCGAGCCGACTCTATCAGCAGCAACAGCAACAAGTGCCGTCGCCGTTCGCGTCTACGGCGAGTGCAGGCGCACCCCCACTCCCGAACTCCACGGACATGGACATCGCAAGCGGAAACCTTGGGCAGACGACCAACGCGTCTTTGGCCGGATTCCCGCCCGTGCTCGGAAGCTGGTACGGCTACGACACTGCAGACTCTGCTGGTGTGTTCGCCAGCACCGGCACCAACGGCGATGCCTCTGCGCAGCAAGTGCCCACGCGGGCGAACTCACAGTTTGGGCTTGGACAGATGTTCACGGCGCAGAGCATGATGTACGACCAGGTGCTGTCGAACTTGTCCGCGTCACTGTCCGAGGCGCCCGCCGGCGCGAGCCAGGCACCAACGCAGACACAGCCGCTATACGCGCCGCAGCAGCAACAGCAGCCCCCGCCGGAGAACTGTGCGACGCCAGACAACTTCACGGACCTGCTGGCATCATTCGGAGAAAACTTTGGGGCGATTTTTCCGGACTTTAACGATGGCACGCTCAACTTTTCGACGTGGTCGAATGTGCCTCAAGGCTTTGTGTAGGTCTTCTGGCTCTTGTGATGGTCATCGCATCTGCTCATTCATTGGCATCGTTGCAGCGCGGACGACTGGAATACGTATGTTGCTGCATTTGGTGGCATGCCTCAGCAACAACAGTAAATTTCATCCCGAGTCACTTCATTTCTTGAATAGTTCTCTGTATTATTACGCTCTGCTCGGTAGGAGCATCGCCGTACGCGATATTCGCTGTACAATGGCCGGCCGATAACAGCATCCCCTTTCTATTCCAACCAGCTACAGTAATTGTGAAATAATACTAATTACAGCAAGTCTCGAAAAGAATACTGGTACCGCTGGTTCAACTTCTGCTATGGCGGAAGCCGTCTTGATGTGGAGGAAGGTGAGGAGTCTGAGGACGCAGCCGCCGGCTCATCTGCCAATCACACGTATCAAACTTATCAAGGAATCCCAAGATAATGCCGTTTATTCTGTCAAAAATGTACAGCATAACGGTATCCGGCTACTCGTCGCATTTAGACGCATCCACTGCTTGATACGCACCGCGATGAATAAATACCACGGGGAGTCGGAGACATGTAATTACGCAGTGTAGACATTGCGGGACCGACGCGTCCGGGATAATTACGGCAAGCAGTTTAGGAGGTGTTTAGAGGGCTTCTGTTACAGCCGTGGTGACTCGGCCGATATAGAGAAGGCTGTACAGCCTTGTGCCACACCTTGTGCGTATCCGCAGGCATTTCCGCTGCGGAAGCGGATTCTAGGTCGCACGCAAAGGCCCTCTTGATCTGAGGCGCTCATATCACTCCGTGCGGAGGGTCTCTTCTTCTTCCATGCGCCTGTTACTCCCCACCTATGAGCTTTCTGCTCTGACTCCTACGCTCGGTACCGCCATCACCTGATTATCCCGCATAACAACGAATATCTACGAGGATAACAACCAAATCCGCTTCTGTAAAGTCTACGACAGACGGTCAGTGAAGCCGTAAGCACGCTATGTCGTCCTCTGAAGAAGACCGCAAGCCTGTGCGAGATGCACGAGCGAAAAGAAGAGGTCGGGCCTGTGATATGTGCAGACATAAGAAAGGCTAGTTCCTCGCTCGTCTCGTGTCCGATATTGAGCTGATTTCATTACATGCAGTGCGATGTGAGTGCACTTGCAACCGGGACTTCGAGCACGAATGACTGAAACAGCTGGATGAAAGGCGACGGGCGTCCCGGAGAGAGGTGCTTGAACTGTGTGACATCACAGCAAGAATGCACGTACGTGAAAGAGGCAAAGGTGCGAGCTCCGGCGCAGTGGTCGTGTGCTCCGAGATTGAAACTTATGTTGCTAGAAACGATATCCTGATGCAGAGTGAGTGCAGTACCTGTCTTTGCGGATTGGCTGTTGACAAAGATTTAGGCGTGTCAAGGAACTCGAAGTAGAGGTCGCGAATTATAAGAAGCTCCTGAACAAGGTGTGCTCTACGGCGGCGCACCAGTTCTCAAGGACTCAGCGATACACATAGCTCCATCCAGGTGTCGACTTCAGCCGGGAACTTAACGGCATACTGAATGACAACAGCCTATGGCTCCTCGATACCGAACGGGCAGTCTCAAGCAGTTCGAAACAGGCCCCTCTGCGACTTCCGACGCCCCCATCTGCCACGGGCCCGGGCTCAACTTCTGTCCCTGCTCTGGAAGACATTGTATCCAGCGATGATGAGTTGAACTCTCATCTGGATCTGAAGCGGAGTATGGCAGCTCTATCGCTCAACAGCGAGTTTCCAAGGTACCTTGGCAAATCCAGCCGGATGCGATTCTTCAAGCAGGCGTACGATACAAAGAACGCATATACCGGAGGAAACAGCACAACGCTGGTCAATCAAAGGCTCCGGCAGTCGGTAACTAAAGCCAAATACATCAGAAGCCAGCCAGTACGTATGTTTGCGACAGCGGGGGTATCGTTTTGACATGTGAGATACAGTGGATTGCGCCCTCCCTCGAACTCCCACCCGCGCGCTCTTATGAGTTCCCTCCCGATGATCTCATGGACTCACTTATTGACCATTATTTCGCCGACCTCAATGTCTACCTCCCGCTTCTGCACCGACCAACGTTCCAGAGCTGCGTTGAGAGCGCGCTGCATTACGAAGACGAAGGCTTCGCCTCTTTGCTGCTCCTCGTGTGCGCCATGGGCTCCCGGTTCTCATACGACAAACGAGTGCTCTCCGATGGCACCGACAACTGGCATTCTGCTGGCTGGAGGTGGTTCATGCAGGTTGTGCAACACCGCAAGGGTATTAATTTACGGCTGCCGAGACTGTACGACATTCAAATACCCTGTGTGAGTGCACGGTGGTCTGTCACGATTGGACGGGCATCTTGTTGACTAGCTACAATATTTAGCTCATATATTGTTACCTCCACGGCTCGTGTATGACCCATGCGTCGTGGGCTCAGATAGGCCACGGCCTGCGGATCGCGCAGGACATGGGTGCACATCGTCGGCGCTCGTATGGGAAAAAGCCGACCATCGAGGGCGAACTTATGAAGCGGGCTTTTTGGTACGTCGATCGACCCTATAGCCGCTGAAGACCTCTCTCTGAACGCCACATAGGATACTCGTCCTTCTGGATCGCACTCTCTGTTTGAGCCTGGGCAGGCAATGTTCCCTTGAAGACGAAGAGTATGTCGTGGCTTATACCTTGACGGATGACACTCACAGATGGCATCTAGCATGGACGTGGACTTTCCCATCGAGTGCGATGACGAATACTGGATCGCCGACGACCCAGAAACGGCGTTCAAGCAGCCGGAGGGCAAGCCGTCTACGGTCTCATGCTTTGTTTCGAGCTTGCGACTCAAGCAAATCCAAGCTTTTGCGTTGCGGACTCTCGTATGTATTGTGCGTCCTATTCTGGAATGCATTTGCTAATGTCTCCGGTCATTGTGCAGTTCTCGACGAAGAAGTCGAAAGTGCTCTCCGGTCGGACGGGCCCTGAATGGGAACAGCAAACCATATCTGAATTAGATTCCGCGTTGAATCAGTGGTTGGACACTGTCCCAGACCATTGTACGTCTCCGATACCAGCTGGTAAATTATTTTGCCTGACAGCAGCACGCAGTGCGATGGGACCCCCACAGGGAGAACGCAGTATACCTCAGACAGTCCTCGATCTTGTATCAGTCGTACTACGGAACCCAAATTAATGTGCATCGGCAGTTCATCCCGCTTCCCCACAAGACCTCCAAACTGTCGTTCCCTTCGCTTGCGATTTGCACAAATGCTGCGCGCTCGTTATTGCACGTCTTGGACACGCAGTACAGGAAGGCGGGGCTTTCGCCGTTCCTTAACGTGGTGCGTTCCTGTAGCTAATCTCCTTTTGACAAGCGAGCGTGCTGATGTAGATGTTAAAGGCCGGCTTGTTCAGCGCTGGGATCGTGTTATTGTTGAATATTTGGGGCGGCAAGTCGTCGGGCGTTGCAATCAATCCTGCGAGGGAGCTAGCCGAAGTCCACAGGACCATGGAAATCCTGAAAACGCTGTCGCCACGGTATGTTCGTTTTCCGCCATGCAACAATCCATCCTGACTGTCTATGTCACAGGTGGTACATCGCAGGCCGTTACTGGGATGTCTTGCATGACCTAGCCAATGTAGGCGACGTGCCGCTCCCAGAGGGCATCCCGCGCCATAAGCGCTCGCACGAGGAGAGCTCAAAGGAAGGTGGCACCGCCGCCACCGTCGTTGCAACCCCGTCAGACAGCTCGACGCCGAGCAGCCAGCGCGAGATCGCGGGCTCACGCCGCGTGTCGCTGCGCCAGACTCCCATCACGACGGACTCGCCCGCGAGCAGCGACGGGCTCTTCAGCCCGACGTTCGACTTTGCGCTCCCGATCCACAGCGACGAGCTCGGACGGATCCCGATCTTTGCCGGCCAGGGGCACCAGGAGCAGCAGGGACAGGACGGCGTGCCGCTGACGACGATGGCGGAGCCTGCGTGGGACGGGTTCGACATGGCGCCGTCCGTGTTTGGTTCGCCCGACCTGGATGCTGCGGGTCTGACGACGATGCCTGCGCCGACGGGCGCGGCGGCGCAGTACGTCGAAGCGTTTTCCGCCGCGGCGGGTGTACCTGGATCGTCGTACGTGCCGGAGGCGTTCCAAGCGTTCGCGGGTATGTCCCAGGCGGGATCCGCTGCTAGTGGGCTGGAGACGAGCGTGGGGGCGTTCGAGCTGCCTGTCGGTGGTAATCGCAACGGGGCAGCTGGAATTGGGGATAACACGCTCGCCATGTGGTCGACGGCGCCCGGTGGATTCGAGTGAGGATTTCTGTTCTCTTGTTTGAATGACGCCAGATGCTGACGGACTTGTGCTCTCTGCAGGTGGGACGAGTGGGGGATGTTTATCTCGAGCATGAACGAAACGGGGCAGAGTGCTTGAGGATAACACGTTCCTAGTGGCTATCTCATTGCTGTCTGCATTTTACGAAAATATGATTGCTGTAATCACTTCACTCCCCTCTGGGTCATCTCCGCCACCTCACTTCGAATAACCTGCGACTTGTGGCGCGTCCGCGCTTTGCTAAATGTTACATCTTTGATGTTTTCGCCCTATACCTCCCTGTTTCACCACATACGTGCAGTCCGCGACTGGTGACGGCGCTGCGGCTGTCCAAGGCAATCTCGAGATATACTACCGGCGCTACTTGCGCAAGTCTTCGGCGCGTAGAATCCAAGAGACTCTAGCTGTCGGCTTTATAACAATCCATGGCTCGTACTATAGGATCGTAACATGCGTGTGCTCCTGCCCTGATACACCCCCAGTTTGATACCGGTTACTGAAAACGCACATTCTTCCTCTAAGCCCACGTGTGGGTTCGAGGAAAACTGACGAGCGATGAACGGAGACTCTCAGGCAACGACGGGTCCATCGACTCGAAAGCTTCCCTGGCCTGCACTATGTTGCGCGTGAGACTCCCCATCAGCCGGAAAGAGTTGCATGGCAGGAGGGCTAGCGAAGAAATACGCTTCGTCGTTGCGGTGTGAGCTCGGGTATCTACTATACAAAAGTCAGAGCATACCTTTGTCGTTGTGGTGTGAGCTAAAGAGCGAACGACAAAGGTGCGCGCATAATAACCCAACAGTCACAAGTGACATCGCAGTGTAACATCGTTACAACTAGATCAGTAGCCAAGTCAGGTACGCTTTGATGGAAGATGAGAGCCGAGTCTTACAGCCGTCACCGCCGTTCCAGACGTTTCGGTGCAGGGAAAGATGCCATACGCATCTTCAAGGCATACGACTGCGGTTTGAGCATCAGAGTACTGCTCGTAGCACACTAGTCAACACAGCGCCGCTGGTGTTCAGCGCGACGGCGGTCAACGACATCGCGTACCTCCAGTGGCGGACCGTCGCGAGCGTCTCTTCCACTTGCGACAGGCCCCGTTCCTCGCCGCTCCAGCCCGTCGAGCTTGCCTTTATCGAGCCACGGGAGAGGGCGGCATGTCGACCGCTGCTCGCAAAACAAGTGCGCGAGCCATGACCCAGACAGGCGGCCCCGTGGCGCTGTCCGAGGCTGAACATCGAACCTGGTTGTGCCAGTGCGGCGGACGTCTCTTGCGTCACTGTCTGTAGGGACACTCTCGGCGTGCCGAGCAGGCGGTTCTTGAGCTTGTAATACCGCAGGAAAGAGACGTTGATTGTGTGGTGGGCAGCCCCCCCCCCCACCACCACCCTAGCCCTGCTGGGTGGGCCGGAGCGTTGCTCAACGGACGCTACACCTCCGTGCCCACGGAGATCTTGAAGGCGGTCGACGCGTATGAGCCCGCGCAAGCATTGAGTGAGATCTTGTGTGCCTTCTCTTGGTTCTGGAACGTCACGATCGCCTACTCCGATGCTTTGAGCCAGCCCGAGACGAGCACCAGCGACTCGGGCGCGACGCCATGGTCCGCTGCCTGGGGAAAGTCATACCGGGAGAATTGGTGCTTCGCGATGTACTTCCGGAAGCTCTTGTTGCGCAGGTACCACTGTTGGTGTCCGCTATCGCCCAGCACGGTGACAGTGCTGCAAATACAGCAGCAGCAGAACGTGTATGATACCGCGACAGCACACCTCGAGGGATCAGCCATTGCTCAATTCGAAGTAGGGTGACGATAGCTCACCTGGATCCCTCTCCAGTAGGTCGTGGCCGTCGTACAGATCAGGCCAGGAGATACGTGCTCCTCGCCGGATCACAAAAGAAGTCATCATAAACCAACGTATCCGTCCTTATGATTGACCACCGGGTACATAATCACCTTGCGAGCGCTGTGTTCGACAAGAGGAGGCTCGGGTATTCTGCAGTGTCAGTCCGCGTCGTGTAGTCTTTGGGTGCTCCAGAATCTTGGGGATTTTTTAGCATTTCAGTTCTTCATGACAACCTGGCCTGAGGATGCCGCAAAGGAGCGGAGGTGAGCAGCTGCGAAGAATACGGATACGGCGGCGTTTGTGATATCTTATCTATAAATTGCCTTTGTAAGTAATGTTTCCGCTAGCGTCGTCAGTCGGCAGCTTCGGCAGCAAAGGAACTTTTGTGCTTTATTCTAGATGTCTTCAGCTTGAAGGTCGTACTGTACAGGAATAAATTTGCGATCTACACAGCACCCAGAGAAGATCTAGCTTTGGCTCGTGGGACTCGGATGCGAGGCTTGTCGCTGCGCCGGGCTCGACGGCGAAGCCTGGCGTCGTTGAGCGGCGCAGCACGTCGGCCGGAGCGTTCCCCGCAGCGGCGGGCGTGTCCGGACGTGCCAGAACGTTCCCAAGCGTGCGCGGACATGCCGCACCCGCTTCGAGTAGGACGGGGAGTGCGGCGGCGTTGAGCTGTGGTCGCAGCCTGCGGTTTCGTGGCGCCCCGCGCTCGCCCCGTTTCGCCCTGTTTCGCCGCGACCGATGATGCAATAATGTCTGGGGCAATCTCGAAGCCGCGCAAGCCCTCGGCGCGGAGACTTGAATAGACCCCGGAAGGCTCTTGGTTGCCGGCTGCGGTGTAATGCTTCATGACCTAAATGTGATCATGACATACTACACTCTTGCTGTAATCTCTTTGCGCACCGCTCCAAGCTTTAATTGTGCTTAACACCGTTCGTCGCACGCACACGGCGTTCCCCCTCGACTCTCGTGCGGACCCTGCCAAGGATACTTAAGGCTGAGTCATAGCGCAGCAGCGAGAGCCCCGGCCCGACAGCTCTGGAAAAGCACAGCACTCCCGCAGTCAGAGTCATCTGCACCGAACCATGGCCAGCAACGACGACAGACAATCTGGGGAGCCCTTGAAGAAGAAGAGGATCCGGGCTTGCGACCAGTGCAGGCGAAGGAAAGGTGTGCCCACCCGTTGGTCGTGTCCGGACAAGTGCTGAGGTCACCGACGATCGGAGCGAACAGTGCGATGTGAGTGCCGTCTGGAACGAGACGAGTTGTAGACTTCTCATCCCGGGCCAGGCGATGGATCCGAGGGGTGCGCAAACTGTGTGACATTCGGGTACACGTGTACGTACCTGTCGGGCCAGGACGTGAGTACGAGACATCCTCCATAGTGCCGTAGCTGATTAGCAAGCCCAGAAACGGTATCTTGATCCCGAGTAGGTACTCAGCTGACTTCGTGACCAGTTTGGAGTGACTGAGAAGGGTATAGCTATGTCAGGAATCTAGAGTTGGAAGTTACGCAGTTGCGACTTATGGTCCAAAAGGTACGTGAGTGAAATGTGAGACTCAAGTTTCGCTTCCGAGCTGCTCGTCCAGTTACAGGCAGAGCCATGTCCCAAGTGTGCTTCCAACGACGCGCGAGACATTTCTAGTCCTGCAAGCACAATGCTCTCTACTCCCGTCATGTCACCCGCCAGCGTAGACCACGCGGATGAGGAGAGCGACGGCGAAGAAGTGCTCGTCGAAGGCTTCAAAGGCTTGAGCGTCGACTCCAAGTCTTACCACTTCCTCGGACGGTCCAGCAACTTTGCCCTTGTCAGAGCGGCAATAGACCTCAAGAAAGGACTCGTCAACGGCTGTGAAAAACCGCGGCTGGAGGACAATCTCCTTATATCCCACCGACCAGAATTTTGGGAGCTCGCCGAGGTAAGTCGGGCACGCCGACACTCTGCAAGCCAGCGCTGATGGAAAGCGTGTCGAAGGCTCCTATCGAGTCAGATCCCCCATACACCGACTTCCCCGACACCGCGATGATGTCCGAGCTCGTGGACAACTTCTTCCTGTGCATCAACACCAACTTCCCCCTGCTGCACCGCCCGACCTTTGAGCGGAGCATCCGCTCCGGCCTGCACCTCCGCGACGAAGGCTTCGGCGCGACGGTGCTGCTCGTGTGTGCCCTCAGCGCGCGCCAGTCGCCCAACCCCGCCGTGCTCGTGCCCGGCGCCCCGAACTGGCACTGGGCGGGCTGGCAGTGGTTCGAGCAGGTGCGCTCCCGGCGGAGGCTCATCCCGATGCTGCACACGCGGCTGTACGACCTGCAGGTCGCCACGGTGAGGCTGCGCCCGCTCCTGCCTGTGGCCGCCGCTCCGCTGACAGCCTTGGGCGCTCTTCTGTTTTTGCAGCTCGCTGCGGCGTACGTGAGCGCGTCGCCTGTGGCGCATCCGAACTACGCCATCATCGGACATGGCATACGGCTCGCGCAGGACCTCGGCGCGCATAGACGGACGACGTACCCCTCGACGCCGACGGTCGAGAGCGAGCTGCGGAAGCGCGCGTTCTGGTGCGTGCGGAACCATATCAGGGACGCTTCCAATGGACTTAGTACCTCGTCTGCCTAGGTTGCTGGTCGCCATGGACAGGGGTATGTGCTCCATACTGGGCAGGCCATGCAGCATTCAGGAAGAAGAGTAGGTGCGGCACATCTGTGGGGCTAACCTTGCGACTGACAAACGAGTAGCTTTGATGTGGACTACCCCATCGAATGCGACGACGAGTACTGGGAGATGGACGATCCGCAGCTTGCGTTCAAGCAGCCGCCTGGGAAGCCGTCGTACACCGCGTCTTTCAACTGCATGATACGACTCATGCACATCCATGCGTATTGCTTGCGCGGGCTGGTGAGCGCATACGAGCTCCATCGCGCCGTCACCCTGCTGACGCAACAAGCAGTACTCGCTGAGGGGCTCCAAACTGCTCTCAGACCCACAGCGCGCGCAGGAACTCGTCTCCGAACTGGACTCGGAGCTGAACAGGTGGCTCGACTCCATCCCCGAGCACCGTACGCATCCGCTTCAGCGACTCTTTCCCCGTGGGGCTGACGCATGCACCCACAGTGAAGTGGGACCCGCACCAGCCGAACGACCTCTGGGCGAGCCAGTCCGCGTCGCTCTTCGCGGCCTACTACGGCGTGCGCATCATCATCCACCGCCCGTTCATCCCGATGCCGCGCAAGCCGTCGCCGCTCCCGTTCCCGTCGCTCGCGATCTGCACGAACGCGGCGCGCTCGTGCGTCCAGGCGCTCGAACGCTACTTCACGCGCTTCGGGCCCGTGTTCATGCACAACCACCACCAGGTGCGTCTGTCTGTCTGTCTGTCTGTCTCTGTGCCTGTGGGGTGTCCTGGAGACTGACGCGTGCGTGCGCTCGCAGCTGACGCTGTTCACGGCGGCGATCATCCTGTTGCTCAACATATGGGGCGGGCCCCGCACCGGCTCGACGGTCGATGCGGCCAAGGAGATGGAGGAGGTCAACAAGGCGCTGCGCATCCTGAAGGACCTCGAGCCGCGGTGGGTAGTCATCCACGGGTTCTGCCCGCATAGCCCGCTTGCACACAGCTGATGCGAACACACGTCATTCTTGGCACAGCTGGAACTCTGCATGCCGGTACTGGTGAGCCAGCACGCGAAAGATGTTTCTTTTTAAAACCCGGTTTTCTGACCTGTCCGACATAAAAAGGGACGTCCTGCACGACCTCATGACCGCCGTCGACCCCGCACAGAACCAGGGCGCCCCGAGGACGCTGAAACGCCGGCGCGACGACCCCGCGCCGCTCGAAGACGGCGGCCCCTCCGTCTTTGCGCCCGCCGCCGACAGCTTCGCGTACGAGGGCGCCCCACAAGCGCGCCCCTTCCAGGCGTCCTCCGCGCCCTTCCCGCAGTCCCTCTTCGACGTCGCGCCTCCCGCGCCCGACCACGCGCTGCCGGGCAGTGTCGACGACTTTGCCTTCGGCGGCCTCTGGCGGAGTAACGGCGCGCAACAGCAGCAACAGCAGCAGCAGCCGTTCGACGCGCCGCCGCAGTCCATGTCCGGGCCCGCGGACGACGCGATGTCGCTCGACGCGGACCTCGAGGCGATCTTCGCGGACCTCCTCCCGACGTCGTCCTACGACAGCCCGTTCCTCGCCGCGCCGGCGAGCCTGTTCTCGAACCACCTCTTCTCTGGGGCGGGCCTCGGCGCAGAGTTCGTCCAGCAGGAGGCGTTCGCGGCGCCGCAGCAGCCGCAGCAGCCGTCGCCGATGTGGTCTGCAGGGCCGGAACCTCTCGCGTGAGTTCGTCCCTCGCAGCCTCGGCCTCGTTGTCTTTTTTTTGCGTGGCGCTCGCTGAGCATTTGCGGACACAGGTCGTCGGGTCCTGGGGAGCACTCCCTTGCGACGTTCGGGGCGCCAATGATGAGGATAAGTCCTGGAGGATCGTGAGGTGCTGTCCTGTTGCGATGTTCGAATGATCTAGGTTACATGAGCCACCTATATGCCGAGCCTTGTGGAGGCATGGACATCACCGGAAACCAATCAACAGTAGTATCAATGCGTAGTTGCAAGGCAGGATATTCGTGTAGGTTATAAATAAAAACATATCACTGGCACTAGTAGCGACGATCCCATGTTGGCACGGGTATTTGTCTGAAGACCGAGCGGATGTTTCGGCGCCGACGCTTTGACTCGTCTCATGTTGAGATACTGAAAGCAGAGCATGGCACGGGCCAGCAGCCCCTTTGCTCTGCGAGCCCTCCAGGTCCGTCGTTCTGCTGGCAGCCGGCGTCTTTGCAAGTCATCCGCAGCCCTTGGCTGAGTAATAGCTCAGACGTAGTGCCTCGGGCCGACGGCGTTGCAGGACGCGATCGCGTTTTGTCACTGACCACCTACACCGAAATTCTTGAGACATGTCCGGGAAAGACGAGGATGAGCATGTGGCGAAGAAGAAACGCCTCAGAGCCTGTGACCAGTGCAGGCGAAGGAAAGGTACGCTCCTCTGTAGTCAAGAGGGAGCGCACGCTGAAGTGTCGCGAATCATTAATATTGTTAATATTTTACGCGAACAGTGCGATGTGAGCGTTCGCCGATATTAGAGACTAGTACTGCCACTTATACAAGAACTGTAGGCGACGGAACAGACGAAGGAAAGCCGTGCTCGAACTGTGCCACGTTCAAGTACCAGTGCACGTACGTCTTAGGCACGGAGGTGCGTCGGCTAGATGCAGGCTCCGGGTGTACAGCTCACGAATGAACACAGCCTAGACGTCATGTGGACCACGAGTGAGTGCTGAAGCGGAGACTTGGTGAAGTTGCAGATTGATAGGATATTGCAGATACGTCAGGGCTCTAGAGTCAGAAGTCACCAGGCTACGACTGTTGGTTCGGCAGGTATGTCTTTGAGTGACCGCGGTACGGTGCCATGCAAATCTCAATTTGCCACCTAGCTGGAAGAAAAACTCAGCGAGAAAGAGAAGTCTCAATTGGCAGCGAATACCTCAACATATCTCCTTTCGAACCGCTTACCGTCGGTTATTACGAACGCTTCGGCACGACGGGAGGATAGCGACGACTACGAGAGCCTACTGGAAGGCTTCAAGTGCATGAGTATTACTTCGAAGCATTTCCGCTTCATGGGCCGATCGAGCGACTTTCCTCTCATGAAAGCTGCGATAGACATGAAAAAGGACCTGCTTGGCAAGAATGACGGCGATGGCGTGCTGATTCTCGAACCGTTTCCAGCATCATCATTCCGGCGGCCTGAATTTTGGAGATGCGTTACGGTATTTCGACGTGCATTCTCGACGGCAGCCACGCTGACTTGGGCACCTCGTATCGCGCGGTAGGATTTGGTTTTGCCGGACCCTCCATACGTTGATTTCCCGGAGCCCTCGCTAATGGACGAGCTCCTTGATGGCTACTTCCAGAACGCGCACCTCACCTTTCCTCTGTTGCACCGACCAACGTTCCTGCAGAACGTTGCCTCCGGGTTGCATCTTTTTGACGAAGGCTTCGGCGCGACGGTGCTCCTCGTCTGTGCTGTCAGCGCGCGCTTCTCTGAAAATCCCGCCGTACTCCCACCAGGCACGACAGATTGGCAGTGGGCAGGTTGGCAATGGTTCCAGCAGGTACAAAGCGCGCGCAAGCTTATTCCACTCGCGGCGGCAACGCTGTATGATCTGCAGGTCGCTGTGGTAAACAGCCCCCGCTGTCTATCTTTCGCTCCCGCTGAAGTTTCTTACAGCTTGCTGCGGCATACATCGGCACATCATCAATACCATACCCAAGCTATGCCGTCGTCGGGCATGGCCTCCGAATTGCCCAGGACTTAGGAGCGCACAGACGGATGGCGTATGGCCCGGTGCCTACGGTTGACGGCGAATTAAGAAAGCGCGCATTTTGGTGCGTATTTCTTTTCAGCAATAGGTCATTGCTGCCGGGTCTAACCTTACACAGGTGCCTGGTTACGATGGATAGAGGCATGTGTTCCAATCTAGGAAGGCCATGTAGTATCCACGATGAGGAGTAAGTGTCCAGAGCGAACATATTATCAGCGTCCACTCAAGTCTCTTTCCAGCTTTGACCTTGACTATGCCATCGAATGCGACGACGAGTATTGGGTGGCAGATGATCCACAAGATTCATTTAAGCAGCCTCCTGGGAAGCCTTCCACCGTCGCATTCTTCAATTGTGTCATCAGGCTTGCGCAAATACACGCACGTGCCTTACGCACCATTGTGAGTTTGTCGGTGGTGTGTAGTCTATGCTACGACTTATAAAACCTTAGTATTCCCTACAAGGCTCCAAGATTCTCTCAGATCTTGAATCCGCCCAACAGATGGTCGCGGAGCTGGATTCAGAGCTGAACAAATGGGTGGACTCAATCCCTGACCAGCGTGCGTACACGCCGGACACCCTCAAACCGCCGCTCACCAGTTGTGCGCAGTGAAATATGATCCCGACAGAGAGAATGCCGTCTTCGCGACCCAATCCACCTCGCTCTACGCGTCGTACTACAACCTACGCATCTTCATCCACCGGCCGTTTATTACGATGCCAAACAAGTCTGAGCCGCTGCCCTTCCCTTCGCTTACGATATGCACGCATGCCGCGCGGTCATGCATTCAGGTCCTCGACCGACATTCCATCCGCTTTGGCTCAACGCGTATCCACCAGCACCACCAGGTACGAATGGCTTTTTACACCATATGTTGATTAGTATGGCTAAGGCGTCTGTGTGATAGCTGTCATTATTCACGTCTAGCATCGTATTGCTTCTGCACAATTACAGCAGGACGCGTGCAGGCCAGGCTACTGCCGGTGATGTCGCCAAAGAGCTCGAGTATATTCACAAGGCGCTACGCATATTCAAATCTCTGGAGGGGCGGTAAGGCGTATCTCCCGTGTCGCTTCTGACATTGCTAACGGACATTGCTGCAGCTGGAATGCCGCTGGCCGATTCTGGTGAGTCAAGCACTTCATGAGGGGATTGTCACCAGCTGATAAGGTGTTCAGGGATGTCCTCTATGACCTCTTGGTCGCCGTCGACCCTAAACAGCGCAAGCACGACGATAATACGATACTCGAAGACATTACCCATCCAACTCTACCAGCGCACGCCCAGCAGCCGCCAATACAGCCTGCAGCATTGAAACTAGCAGAGACTGCAGCAATCCCCACAGGTGAATTCCCTGGAGGGAACTTCGACTTCGCCATGCCTCCGCGCAATTTAGACAGCCTGTCCAATGGCGAAACTCTCGGCGCAGACAGCTTCTGGAAGGAACTTGGCGCCGCGCAATCACCAGAAGGCGGTGCACAGCCTCTGTTCGAACCGTCGCCCCCCTTCAACAGCACCGCATTTGCGCCAGATCCAGAACTCGAGGCGATCTTCGCAAGCCTTTTGCCGGCGTCGTCGTACGAGGACCCACTTGCTGCCATCATGCCGCAGGGTTTCGCGTCGAGCCAGTCGTTCGACAGTACCTCAGCTGCGGGCGCGGTCTCTGCGCAGCCAGGGGTCCCTCTGCCGAGCTCCACGGGGCCGTCGAACCTTGGCAGACAATCGAGGCGCAATGACTACTCGCAATTTGGGGAAGCTTTCCCAACTATGTGGGGCGTCGGTCCCGATGGCCCGCCCTGAGTATTGGTGGACCGTCTGTGAAAAGATGGAACAGCTCATAGTTCATTGCTTATCGCTCAGGATAAGGAGACACAGAGCTGAGGACAAGCGCGCTCCTGTCCATACCATAGTTACTAGTTTACTCGTACAGCGTCTTCGGATACTTACTCGGACGAGCAAGCTCGTTGCTCAATTGAGCACAACGGCTTTGTGGCGCTGCGCCTGCGATGACTCAGTCCGCTACGCAGCAAGTTTGAGTCAGTCTGTAGCCATCATTGCGGATGGTAACCATGTCGTGGATCAGACAGCTTAAAAGCTGTGCCCCGGTAGGCGGGCGGTAATTCCGGATTCTCTCAGAATCGGCAGAGACCACCGTTGAAGCTGCGCAATCTCGACATCGAACGACAACAGTTGTCTTCCGCTCTATCTTCTATCTAGATGTCCGCTGCGCATGTCACCTCCGGTTCCGCTTGACAACCTAGTTTCTGCGGAGCCGCATGACTACTCGCCCCGGCAGCGAGGAAATCGTTCGTCATATTTTTCCAGCTCTCGGCATCCTTGTTCTCGACCGTCTGCGCAGTTGTGCCTGCCCGGATTTATTACTGGGCGCCACGACATCGACGCTTTTGTCCTTGTAGATCTTTGGTCGGACTGAACTCTTCAGCCGTGCTCTTGGACTGCAAACTTCCCAGTAAGCATCTGCGATTCTGCATCGACCCTCTTGACCAACGATTGTAGATACTACATGTCTTGCAACCGCGGAGTTGACGAAGGGAATAGCCGCATTACTTCGGTTAGCAAGGGCTCGAGGAAGAAGCGAACGCCGCGAACGCGAGCGTGTGACCAGTGCAGGCGACGGAAAGGTATGTGCCAACCCCCTTCGCAGCGACTGATGCTCACATGAAGTTCTATTATCACGGAAAGTGAAGTGTAAGGTTTTGACGATCTTCTCAGAGTGGTATGAGTGACAAGGGTTTTGCTCAGGCGATGCTCAGATTGCAGAGGGTTCGCGGTGCTCGAGCTGCACAGCATTTGACTATGCATGCACCTACCTTGCAGGAACGGACGTGAGGTGCCCATCTCAAGCTAGACTGGACTGGACGCTGACTAAAAATCTCAGAAACGCTTTTGTGATGTCAAGTAAGTGTCAAGCTTTCTGCGATGAGCGGCAGCTAGCCGAATATCATGCAGCTATGTCAGGACCCTGGAGAAGGAGTTGGAAGAGATGCGAGAGTTATGTCTCAAGGTAAGCCGTTTTTGTGTCTCCTTGAGCAGCCGATATCATATTCCGGTACTGCAGCAACAAATGCTTCTCAACGCACATGGCATTCCCACAGATACAGCGGAAGTTTCCCGCCCTAGTACGAGACCGCCCACACCGACGCGCCCATCTTCGACGGCCCTGTCTCCAGACCCTGAAGCGTTTGTCGCGGATGAAGAAAAGGACGAGACCACAGAGCTCATCAAAAGCTTCAAGGGCATGGGACTGCACCGCGAGGATGTCAACCACATCGGACGGTCGAGCAACCTCACGCTCATTCGGACCGCAATCGACGTGAAGCAGGACTTCGTCCTCAACTCCCAGAAAGCTGCCGTCGTGAACTTGAAAGCGCCTGTCCTTACATTCCGCCGCCCAGAGTTCTGGGCAACTCGCACTGTAAATTCTTTGTATGGTTAGTATACGGCACCCACCACTAATGCCGCTCGCTACATCAGGTGCAGATCATGCCTCCTGAACCTCCATATACCGACTTCCCAGAACAGGCTCTCATGAAGGAATTGGTCGCCAAGTATTTCGAGTTCCGCCAGCCACTGTCTCCGTTGTTGCACCGCCCCACCTTTGAACAAGGCATACAGTCTGGGCTTCACCTCCACAACGAGGGTTTCGGTGCGACAGTCTTGTTAGTGTGTGCCCTAGGTGCGAAATTCTCCGATGATCCCGTAGGAATGTCTCCTGGCGCGCGCGACTCGCACTGGGTGGGCTGGCGATGGTTCGAACAAGTGCGTGCGAAGCGTAGGCACATCTCCCTCACAGCCGCGACGCTCTATGACCTGCAAACCGCATATGTAAGCGCATCGCTTTTTTTCTTGTGAAATCCGTAGCTTACCCGTTTCGTTAGCTCGCTGCGGCGTACATCGGCGGCTCGGCCATGCCATTCACGAACTTGGCGCTTCTGGGTCATGCTCTGCGGCTCGCGCAGGACATGGGCTTACACAGGAAGAACACGTACAGCGCAACACCGACGGTTGATGGCGAATTGAGGAAGCGGGCGTTCTGGTACGTTAACTACAAATAATTTTCGTTTGGCGTAGTCTTGACTTGCCCCTGAGCAGGTCCCTTCTCTCAATGGAGTACGGAATGTGCATGGTTATGGGCAGACCGTGCAGCTTGCAAGATGATGAGTAAGTCTCTGCCATACCTTGTCCAATTTGCTGCCCAATACGTTTGTCAGCTTCGACGTGGATTATCCTGTCGAGTGTGACGACGAGTACTGGGTCAATGACGACCCCAAGCTCGCGTTCAAGCAGCCCGAAGGCAAGCCATCCTCTGTAACCTATTTCATTTGGACCCTACGTCAAACGCGCATTGCCGGTTCTATACTTCGAAGTCTTGTACGTACACTCATGTTTGCCCGCCCGCATCCACTGACGAATGCCTAGTACTCACTACGGGCACCGAAAGTGCTCGCAGACGCCGACCGCGCTCAGCATATCGTGTCCGAACTGGATTCAGAGCTTAATAAATTGGTCGACTCTATCCCTACCCACCGTATGTCGGCACTTTCATGCAACGCAATGTCTCCCTGCTGACAAGAGCCTCCAGTGAAGTTGGACAGTGACCAATCGGACCCGATCTTTGCGGGCCAGTCGATTCTCTTGTACACCTCGTCCCACCTGTTGCGCATCATGATCCACCGACCATTTATCCCGCTGCTTCGCAAACCGTCGTCGCTGCCTATTCCTTCGTTCACAATTTGCACGAACGCGGCGCGCGCCTGCGCACAGCTCCTCCACCGGCACCACCAGCGCTTTGGTGCGGAATATGCGTTACCTGCGGCTCAGGTGGATTCTCTCCCTGTCATTTGTTTGTATCAGCTGCTTACTGGATGGGCACAGTTGATATTGCTCACGTCGGCGATTATATTGCTGCTGAATATCTGGGGCGGGAAGCGTGCCGGATCGGCGGTAGACACCGCACGGGAGATGGAGGAGGTCGATAAAGTGCTGAACATGTTCAAAGCGATGGAGACCAGGTAAGCGGGGTCAGTCTCGTCAACTGAATTCTCGCTGATAGCAGTATATGTCAGGCATATATCTGCTGGTCGGTTGTGGTACGTTTCATCGTCGTAAAGTAAGAAGCATCTTTTTGAGGCTAGTACCGTAGGGACATTCTCCACGACTTGAAGACTGTGGTTGACGAACCTGTGCAACAACAAGCTCGAATGCAGAAACGCAGACGCGAGGAAGACACTGGCACAGCCAACGATTCGTCTGCGGATGCGGGGACAAATGTGCAGCCACCTCGCAAGAAACTCTATGAGCGCGGGACTCTGGCGCCCTCTGCATTTGCCTCGATGTCCTCTTCGGCATCTCTGGACGTCGGCCCGGACGTCCCCATACCAGGCGGCGCACCCGCCGACTCTCCCACAGGACCCGATATTGACTTTTCCCTCTTTTGGCAGTCCCTCGGCATTCAGCCGGGCGCAGGCGATCAAGGCGCAATCTTTCCCACGTCTGCAGATGCCAGCGCGATGTTGGCGGACCCAGACCTCGAATCCCTCTTTGCGGGCCTCCTCCCTGCACCATCGGTATATGACGACCAATTAGCGGGGCTCTCGCAAGATGCGACTGTCCACTCTGACCTATTCGCACCAAGCGCGATGTCAGGCTCATTTTTCACGCAGTCTGGCACGTTTGCGGATCCTGGGCCGTCGAGTGCAGTGCACCAGGGAGCAGATAGACCTTTCGCCCATGGCCCGGAGCCGATGTGGGAGACGGAGCAGGGGGACATCTCGTGAGTATTTTCTGTCAGCTTAGATCAAGACATGCGCTCAACCTCGAGGTCCTACAGGTGGAGTATGGACGGCTTCCTCTCGGATGTGGACGATTCAGCGAGTGGAGGCTTTGCTGCTAGGCCACACTGGTCTGAAGAACGGCCGGGCTAAGTAGAAGTTTGCAATCTCGGTCAGTTTTTCTCCCAGGGACATGTAGCAGAGTAATATGTAGAGACCATCGCAGGTCGTGTGATTCAATGTTTGGTTTAAGATTATTACTAGCCAGTTCCATGCCGAGCCACCGATAGAGGGTGAAGATGTGACATATTATTCGCTGCACTCACAGCCTGCGAATAATCAATAAAAAGGAGAACTGGCCATTGAATTCGAGGTGATAGGAGACAGAACAGAGAAATGAGGGTGTCCAAGAAACTGTGTTGCCGTGCCACAGTACTTCTCGTCCGGCCAATTTTTCCACAGCACGGTGCCTCTGAGTACGGAGGCACAGCCGTACTTTCAATCTGGGAGTGAGGCAATCAAATGGAGCTCCGGCTCCCAGCTGACTCATTGTGCTCTTTGTGCGGAAACTCAAACCACAGAACGCTTTATACACCTCATTCTGGAATCCTGGCCAGTTGAGTCCCTCCGATGGCATAATACCGCATGATTACGGACGTGCATGACAAACTGATAATGCTCCCGCTCTGTAGTCCGTGCTCCGACTGGGAGTCAGAGGCATCGGGACCAGTTTCATGCTGACGACCGGAGGGGACGAGACGGAGACAGGCCTGCCTTTTGCGCTCGTATTCAGCCTCGTTGGTTGCCCGTAAGGAGCTATGCAAGGGCTATGAGTAGCAGCAGAGAAAATAATGTTTGCCAAAACAAAAATATGTGGGAAATTGCTCTGAGACAGGACTTCCTGCATCCTAACCCGGCGTTGTGGCGCTGTGATGCGATCATCTCTGATCCGGACTTTCCGCGTTGGTTATGCTCCCTTCGGCGCCGACACTCACCTGACTCCGACATGGACTATGAGGCTCTTCACCTTCTCTACAACACCCATCTTGCTGCCCTCATACGAGGCAAGCTCACGCTTTGAGGCATCGCCAAGAGCCGCATCGCACATCTTCCTGGCAATCCTCTCAGCTCAGTGGCCGACAGCGAGTGAAGGCACCGCCTGGCGGCTTTGCAGAACTTTATCCGACTACGTCACCACCGCGTCTACCCGTGGAAATGAGTGACAGGGACGAGGACGAGCACTCCGCGAAGAGGAGGCGTTCTAGAGCCTGCGATCTGTGCAGAAAGAAGAAAGGTATGTCTCGTCATGCATCACGAGGAAGGCGTGCTAAGCTGCCGCGGCTCTCGTCACAGTGCGATGTGGGTATTCATATACATCAGAGGATATGATTCATCCAACAAGAGCCTGTTAGGCGACGGAGAAGAAGGAAAGCCGTGCTCAACCTGCGTAGAATTCAGAAGCAAATGCACATATGTTGAAAGTACTGAGGTGCGTAAGGTATCTGTCAATGTTGTCTGAAAGGCCGTCTCTCACACTTTTTCAGAGGCGTTATGTTGACAACGAGTAATTATCGAAATGTATTCTAGACTAAAGCAGACAGTGGCTGATGGTACTGCAGGTATGTCAGGGCTTTGGAAATGGAAGTCTCTAGATTGCAGCTTCTGGTCCGGCAGGTCCGTCTTCTAATTTATATGGCATGGTGGATGCAGAATATTTTAACAAGTCGAACAGCTGCAAGCGAAGCTCGCTCAATGTGAAAAATCCCGTGCTACAAGTGAACCCATGGCGAAGACCCTGGAACTCTCTCTTCCCGATTGCCTGCCGTCTATTGTGGAAATATCTTTCAAGAAAGAGGAGACCGATGAAGATGAGGGCATTGCAGAAGGATTCAAGTGCATGAACCTTGACGACGCGCGTGTCCGTTTCATGGGTCGGTCCAGCAGCTTCGCTCTGATCAGGGCTGCAGCAAAAATGAAGCAGGACCTCGTAAAAGACGAGCAAATCCCGTTACCCGGCCCGGTGTATAGTCCCACGATGTTTTCCAACCGGCGCTCAGAATTCTGGTCATATTACACGGTAAGAGCTTGGCCACTAAGGGCGATATTCGCACTGACCTCGGTACCCAATTGCATGCGATAGGATATCTTCCCGCCAAGCCCTCCATACACCGAATTCCCGGAGCCCGTCATCATGAATGAGCTCCTCGACGACTACTTTCGGACCATCCACGTGAATTTCCCTCTGCTGCACCGCCCGACGTTCTTGCAGAACATTGCCTCAGGACTGCACCTCGTCGACGAAGGCTTCGGCGCGACGGTACTGCTCGTGTGCGCCTTAAGCGCGCGTTTCTCGACCAATCCTGTCGTGCTCCCGCCTGGGTCGACGAACTGGTGGTGGGCGGGCTGGTGGTGGTTTTACCAGGTGCACGCCATGCGCAAGCTCATCCCACTCACTGTGACCACGCTGTACGATCTGCAGGTCGCTGCGGTAAGACCCTCCGTTGTCGCTCCCTCAGTGCGCTTGTTGAACGACTTGGAACAGCTCTCTGCAGCGTATGTCGCCACCTTGGCGGTGCCACAGTCGAACCACGCCGTCCTCGGACACGGTCTAAGACTTGCGGAGGACGCGGGAGCTCACAGACGGATGGCGTACGGGTCGGAGTCCACGGCCGAAGGCGAGTTGAAAAAGCGTGCGTTTTGGTGAGTGCCGCTGTTCGACCACTATTTGTTACTGTTCGAGTCTAACGCTACACAGGTGTTTGATCGCAATGGACAGGGGCATGTGCACCGCTCTCGGAAGTCCGTGCAGCCTCCACGATGAGGAGTGGGTGTATGCGCATTCATTCAGACATCATTTGCTCACGTTTCTGCCAGCTTCGATCTTGACTATCTCATAGAATGCGACGACGAATATTGGGCGACGGACGATCCGCAGAAAGATTTCAAGCAGCCTAGAGGACAACCTTCTACTATTGCGCACTTCAACTGCGTTCTTACATTACAGCGAATATACGTGCACGCGTTACGCACCATTGTACGTACCAATACCATTTGAACCCCCCAAATGCGATTCACACGATCTTAGTACTCTCTACAAGGAGCCAAGATTCTCTCGGACCCTGAACGCGCCCAGCAAGTCGTAGCAGAGCTGGACTCAGAGCTGAACCAATGGGTAGATTCGATCCCTGAGCACCGTACGTACACTCCGACTTACCGCTAAGCTAATTACTCACCAAGAATATGCAGTAAAATATGATCACAACAGGGAGGACATCCCATTTGCCGGCCAGTCCGCGTCGCTCTACGCGTTATACTATAACCTGCGAATCTTCATCCACCGGCCGTTCCTCACGATGCCGCGCAAGTGTGCACCGCCACCTTTTCCGTCGTTCGTGATCTGCACGAACGCAGCTCGGTCGTGCATTCAGGCCCTCGATAGATGCTTTGCCCTGTCGGGACCGGCGATGATTTACCAACATCATCTCGTACGAGACACTTTTGCTTGATGTGAGGCACGACTGAAGCATATGCTTTGCAGGCCTCGCTTTTCTCGTCCGCGGTCATCCTTCTCCTGCATGTGTGGAGCGAGACGCGGTCGGGCTCGGCTACTGACGTCGCCAAGGAGCTCGGGCACGTCACCGGAGCCCTGCGCATATTCAAGTCTCTCGAAGAACGGTACGCCCCACACATCCGAGCTATCTGTAATGTTGCTCACAAGAGTTGCAGCTGGAGTCTTGCTGGTCGATTCTGGTTAGTGGGACCATTGGTACGTGAAGCGGTCTGCTGATAGTATACTACAGGGACATCGTCCACGATCTGAAGACCGCCGTCGATTCAGCACAGAACAGCAGTAGTCGCGGAGCGCACGAACACAGGCGAGATAACAACGTCGTACCGGAGCAAGACGCCGTTTTGGTCCCCCTTACGCACATGCCGCAGCCATCGGGCCAGGGATCGTCCACATGCGTCAACGGTGTACACCAGCAAGCGCCAGCAGCTGAGATTCGCTCCTCCTCAGATTATTCGCAGGTGAGCCTCAACTATGCGCCTACGCACGGCAACGGCGAGACTCTCGGCACGTCCGTCTTCTGGCAAAACCCGTCTGCACAAGCCGGAGTCGAAACACAAGCACAGCCCGGCCCTGCTCCGTCCCTCGATGGCGCATACGCACACGCACCGGACCCGGACCTCGAAACGATCTTCGCGGACCTGCTCCCCACGCTCTCTCACCAGGACCCGTTCGCGGCCATGACGCATGTTATGCCCTCGTATTTCCCGTCGGCTCAATTCTTCGAGAGCGCCGTACCTCTGGGCACGGGAGGCTCTGGGGCGCAGCTGTACGTTCAGTCTGGGGGATGTACGGAGCCATAGTCTGGACTCGGAGGCACCCTTGTTTTGTGCGAAAACGCAGTATGACACTAGATGTAACGTCCTTAGACGATTATATGGACCGTAGCAATCGAACAATTGGAACCCGAGATATCAACTCAGGTGAAATGTGGGAGAAGAGAGAAAGAAAGCTCATGTAGGTCCGGAACATTGTAGTAAGGTTGTTCTGTTGGGCGCCCGACCGGTCGAGTACAGGGGTTTCAGCGGTTACGTTGCTGAATCTCAGAGTGAGAGTCCGAGTTATCGAGAGATTAGCACACCAAGGATCTGAAACATCGAAAGGCTCGGGCGGGGGCGCGCTCGCTGATGCGCTGATGCGCCACCAGGCTAGCCGTCCGAATAGAAAGGGTTAGCGCCCCGATCCCTACAGGCGCCAACCCAAGGCACCGACGTCGTGCCGTATTTAGGTATGATGCGCCTAGAGAGAGTGGTTCCTGCTATTAAAGCATGTGATGCTAGTCCGGGCGCACATCTGCTCCTCCTGATCGCAGTATGGACTGCCAAACCCTGTAACTCCTCCAGAACACTCATATCGCCGTTCTCATACGGAACAGGCCCATCTGTCGAGGCAACTCCAAGAGCCGCGCCCTACATCTTCCTGGCAATCCTGCTGGCTAGTCGACAGCGAGTGAGCGATCTGTCTAGCGGTTTCGCAAACCCCTATCCAAGCTCGTCATTTGCAACCGCGTACATCTTGAAATATGAGCGACAGGGACGAGAGTGAGCATTTTGCGAAGAAGCGCTTTAGAGCTTGCGACCAGTGCAGGAGGAGGAAAGGTACGTCTGCTGTATTCTATAGGAAAGACGTGCTAAAGCGTCGTGAATCTCGACAATTGATGCGTACAGTACGATGTGAGTGATCATCAGATAACACAGGGTGCACTCTCATAACGCAGGAATGGCTAGGCGACGGGTCCGAAGCAGAAGGAACGTCGTGCTCGACCTGCGTAACGTTCAAGAGCAAGTGCACATACGCTGTGACTACGGAAGGGCGTAAGGTACGTGTCGGCGTTATGTGGATGGCTGTCTCTCACTAGTTGATGTAGAGGCGTTATGTGGACGGCGAGTAAGTGTCGAAGCAGGTCTTGGAATAGAGAGAATCACTAAGGACGTTACAGATACGTTAGAGTTTTGGAATCGGAGGTGACGAGGCTGCGGCTCATGGTTTGGCAGGTATGTCTTGTAATGGCCGAGCATAGCTTCTGCAACGCAAGAATAACCGGCCACACAGCTACGATCAAGACTCGCCGAAATGGAAAAATCTCAAGCCGCGAGTGCCTTCAGCCCGGGAAATACGACGTACTCTCTTTCCATTCAACCGCCATCTGCTGCAGACACTCCTGTTAAGCGGGGGAAAGATGGCGAAGATGAGGAGCTTGCGGAAGGCTTCAAATACATGAGCGTGGATGAAAAACGCGTCCGCTTCATGGGCAAGTCTAGCAACTTTCCTCTTATCAAGGCCGCGATGAAAATGAAGCAAGAACTTGCCAACGATATCGGCAGCCTGTCGCTTGACGAGGGGTACAGCCCCATAATGCTGGCCAACCGGCGCTCGGAATTCTGGCTATGTATCACGGTACGACCTTGTCCACTCGGAGCGGCACGTTCACTGACGCACGTTTACTGTCGCATATGGTAGGATTTCGTCCCGCCAGAGCTCCCATATACCGATTTCCCGGAACCCCCGCTCATGCACGACCTGCTCGATAACTACTTCCAGGACATCCACAGAAACTTTCCTTTGCTGCACCGGCCGACGTTCCTGCAGAACATCGCCTCAGGGCTACACCTCACCGACGAGGGCTTCGGCGCGACGGTGCTGCTTGTGTGTGCCCTCAGCGCACGTTTTTCCAACAATCACGCTGCGCTCACGCCCGGGTTAGCAAGTTGGCAATGGGCGGGCTGGCAGTGGTTCCAGCAGGTCCGCGCCGTACGCAAGCTCATCCCACTCACAACGACGACGCTTTACGACCTTCAGGTCGCCACGGTAAGGCGACCGGAATGCTCCCCGTGTGTCTGTTTGCTCACGGCTGCCATAGCTCACCGCTGAGTACACCGCTACTTTGGCTGTGCCACAGTCGAATTACGCGATCATAGGATGTGGCCTCCGGCTTGCGCAGGACCTGGGTGCGCACAGACGGATGGCGTACGAGCGGGAGCCTACAGTCGAGGGTGAGCTGAAGAAGCGTGCATTTTGGTATGCTGCTTTCTATCGGCTGTCTCTGCGGAATGCTGATGTTTGTGCAGGTGCTTATTGGCGATGGAAAGAGGCATGTGTTCCTTTTTGGGGAGACCGTGCAGCGTCCAAGATGAGGAGTAGGTCTCGATATTTCCCTCCGCCGGTCTCCTGCTCACAGTCCCCACCAGCTTCGATGTCGACTACCCTATCGAATGCGACGACGAGTATTGGGTGACAGACGGTCCACAAAGTGTGTTCAAACAGCCGGTTGGGCAACCTTCTACCGTTGCACACTTCAACTGCACTCTTAGGCTGGACCGGATACATGCGCACGCGCTACGCACCATTGTACGCATTGATGGTATCTGAGCCCTGCCTGCTCGCAGCTCACACGGTCACAGTACTCGCTGCCAGGGGCCAAGAGTCTTTCGGATCCCGAGCGTGCCCAGCAGATCGTCGCGGAGCTGGATTCGGAGCTGAACCAATGGGTGGACTCGATCCCTGAGCACCGTACGTCCCTTCCAAGGCACCTACTCAGACTAATCACTAATCGATTGTCCGCAGTGAAATATGATCTCAACAGAGAGGACGCCCCCTTTGCAAGCCAATCCGCCTCACTGTACGCGTCATACTACAACCTGCGGATCTTCATCCACCGGCCGTTCATCATGACACCGCGGAGGCGCGTGCCGCTGCCATTCCCGTCGCTGGCGATCTGTACGAACGCGGCGCGGTCGTATATCCAGGTCCTCGACAGACTCTTCGCCCTGTCGGGACCAGCACTCATTTTCCAAAACCATCTGGTGTGGCTCCTATCTCGCTCGTCTGTGCGACATGGCTGATGCGTACGCGTTGCAGGTATCGCTGTTCTCGTCTGCGATCATCCTGCTCCTGCATGTGTGGAGCGAGACGCGGTCTGGGTCTGCTACCGACGTCGCGCAGGAGCTTGAGTGTGTCCACAAGGCGCTGCGCATGTTCAAGGACCTCGAAGAACGGTGAGCTGGGTCCGTTTGCGTCGCAGCTAATGTCGCTCACGAGTGCCGCAGGTGGAATGTCGCTGGTCGTTCCTGGTAAGTGAGGCCCTGTGGAGCACGAGACCATTTCGCTGACAGCGTTTTACAGGGATATCATCTACAACCTCATGACCGCCGTCGAAGCAGCGCAGAACAGTAGAGCTCGCGGCGCGCCTGAGTACAGACGAGACGATGACGTTGTGCCTGCGCACGACACCCACTCAGCCTCTCCGATGCACGTATCCCGGCCTCCGGCCAATGCGCCCTCCATGTATGCAGATGGTGCGCAGCAGCAGCAGCCACGAACAGCGGTAAATCCTTCAAACTATCCCCAGGACAGCTACAACTATGCGCCGCCTCCGCGCATCGATGGCGCCGGCGGCTCCAGCGAGGCCATCGGCTCTGACAGCTTCTGGCAAGACCCGCCAACGCAGCAAGAGACAGGTGGACAGGCGCAGTTTGGGTCGCCGTCGCCCCTCAGCAGCGCATATACGCCCAGCCCCAACCCAGACCTCGAGGCGATCTTCGCGGACCTGCTGCCCACGCTGTCGCACGAGGACCCGTTCGCGGCGATGGCACACGGCCTGCCACAGTACTTTGCGTCAGGCCAGCTTTTCGAGAGTGTCGGGCCTGCGGGCGTAGAAGGCTCCGAAGGGCAGCCGTACGTGCACTCTGGGAGCTTCATGGACGCGCAGTTTGTAGGTACAGGGATGCCATCTGTGTGGGAATCAGGTGCTCAAGGTAGCTCGTTGTGACATTGCGTTAGCAGTTGGTGGAGTCACGGATTTAGCTCGTTACTGTTTATATATTCGTACCACACCGCCCACGCTTTTAAGTTACTGCCCTAGTCTGAGCATTGAACGCTGAGCAGCGAGTGCTCATGGATTTGCGCACGGACGCTAGTAGACAGGTGTACATTACTCTCTGTAGGTAGCACTTTAAATTCAGGGAAAAAAAAGTGCTCATGGATTATCATTGTGGACAGCTCTTGACCAACTTTGAGTTAAGGGATCGATTGCCACCGTTGTAGGCTGGTAGCGTGAGCCTTACCAGTTACCGGTGGCCACTCAGAAAAATATGACTGGAACGACAGTATGACGAGAGTGGGATTCGAACCCACGCCCTTTCGGACCAGATCCTTAGTCTGGCGCCTTAGACCGCTCGGCCATCTCGCCGTGGAGGGGTTGTGCTAAAAGATATTTATTTTCATAGCCTCAAGCCCCAACGTATAACGCTGGTCTAGTGCAGTCCCCGTTACGAACGGGACGTACTCAGTGAGTGGGATCGCTGCCTATGTCGTTGCTGGAAAACTCTGCTGAAAGCTCCCGAACTCTATCTCTCACTGTTGCCAATCGTCTTCGTATCGATCTGCCTGGTACAATGAACACAGATCCGTCATCCTTTCCCGTGTGCTCGGCAACGCACGACCACAGACCTGTCGGACCATACTACGACGGGTGGCTCTGATGATTCTCTGAAGGCGGCTGGGGTTCTAGAGCCCTTACAAACAGGTGGTACGACACTGGGCAGATTGTGTTCGATTTTTATCGTAGAGTTGATTTATCCCAGCTTTATCCGAGAAATTTATATTCGCCTGCGAACATTCGAAACTACACGTGCGCGCGCACGCTTGGGCAGCAACTCTTCAGCTGTCGAGAACAAATCGATGCGGCGCAGATATATTCCAGTTTTATCTGAGTTATGGGGTTCAGCGCTCAGCATCAAGCACCGTGCTGCGAGCACAGAGGCTCTTGTGCGCAAGACTTCTGACGAACGGACTCATGCACGTGTAGGAGTATATTGCCAGATTACCGTATACCGAGTATTTTGAGGCATGTATATAACATGGCCTAGGCCCGATCCCATGCCGGTTTCTGGTGAAACCTAGGATGCAATTACGACGCACGTGGTCCCGACGGAGCGCAGCAACACTTACGACGACCGGAGTGCGACTGGACATGGCTGGCGAGTCTAATATCTCTCAGGTACCGTCACCGCCACCTAAACGCGCAGCTGTGCAGTGTACGATCAAGGAGCATGCGCGCCATCAAGGCTCCGGAAGCAAGCTCCAGTGGTTGTTCCTCCCGCCTCGACGCGATGTCTGCGAGGGTAGCTTGGAATTCGAATTGCTTGGGACTTTCAGGACTCTCGGCCCTCAGTCTGCGACGCTATAAAACTCAGCACGCAGCTTCGTCGGGCAGTGGACATTGCAGCTGAAGCATTATTCTCTTGCCCACTCTCTCCAGGCAAGATGGTGTCCAAACTCCCTGTCTTCGCTGCGCTGTTCTCGGTCACCTTCGCGAAGCCCATGGCTCGCAGCATGAAGCTCCGCGAGGCCATACCCGCAGTTCCTGATGGTTACGTCAACAACGGACCTGCTCCCGCGGATACCCAGCTCAACCTGCGCATTGCGCTCGCCCAGAGCGACCCGGATGGGCTCATAGACGCGCTGTACGACGTCAGCACGCCGACCAGCTCGTCTTATGGCCAGCACCTCAGCAAGGAAGAGGTGAGAACGTTTCTCCTTAGCATGCCACTTGGTGCTGAATCTCGCTATGCAGGTCGAGTAGTTTGTCGCACCGACTCCACAGACCGCCTCAGCCGTCAACGCCTGGCTCACACAGGCTGGCGTGAATGCGATCCCGATTTCGCCTGCCGCCGACTGGCTGAGCATCAGTGTTCCTGTCAGCTTGGCGAATGACCTGTTCGACGCCGACTTCACTCTCTTCAACCATTCCGAGACCGGCAAGCGGATAGTCCGCACGATGCAGTACTCGATTCCTGTTGATCTCGAGGGACATCTCGACGTCCTTCACCCTACAGTCTCGTGAGTGATGATGCGGTTTTGTACGAGTGTGACTTTGAGTGACGTCGCAGATTGCTCGCCCGAACTCCCCGCCCCTCGTCGTCTCGGCATCGTCTGGCCTCAAGCGTCGCGCCAATGAATATCTGACGCCTTGCTCAGCCGTGGGGATCACACCTGCCTGTATCGAGTTCCTTACGGCATCCCCACCACCAGGGCGACCCAGAGCTCCAACCACATCGATGTCATCGGCCTCATTGAGCAATTCGCCAACAAGGCTGATCTCGCGGTGCGCGCTGTTTTTAATGTTTAAGCGCGCATGGAATGTTGACAACTGTGCTTGCAGACTTTCTTAAATGAATTCTCACCTAATATTAACGGAGCGACATTCAGTGTTCAGACCATTGATGGCGGCAGCGACTTGCAGAACAGGAGACTCCAACGGCCCAAGGCCAGATACCTCACGTAATAGTCCCGGCGGTCCAAAACCGGGTACCCCACTCAACGACTCCAACGGTCCAAGAACAGGTACCTCACCTAGTAACCCCAGCGGTCCACGCCCAGAAGAACCTCCCCGTGACATGCCCCCGAGGTCCGGATCGGCCCCGCATGGCTCCCAGCGTGCTGCAGAGACCGCAGCCATCGAGTACGTCGGCGTCGAAGAGGAGCCGTCTAGCGCGTCTCGCGTATTGGTACATTCTTTGAATATTGCTCCATAGGCCATCTCTGACGCCCGCCTCAGATCCCTGATCCCCTAGACAGCTTGCTAGACCTAATGCTGGAGGCATGTGATCTTGATATATGTACAATCGCCTACCGTCACTGAAGCCAACACCAGTGTCGTCCTGATGCAACTGCCGCTGTGGCCTCCCATGACGATTTTTACTCCATTTTCCCAGTCAGTCATCTCTACTTCAGAGCTAGTGGTAATGTCTCACATGTTCTCTCCTAGCCTGAAAAGTATCCCGAGGGTGTTAGAAGAGCAGACTTACAGGAGAAATTGAGCCAAGGTCTCGATGTCCAGCTGAACGAAGATGGTGGTAAGACATGCCAGGATTTCAAGTATCATCATCGCTGATCTCCCGACGTAGTGGCTTTTATCAGTAAGGGTGGTAACCCTGACTTAGCTCCTCAAGAAGTTAATACCTACGAGGACATCACCATTCCAGCACGCCCTACATCGGACATTTCCACTCACGCAGTGCCAGAGACGGTCTCAATCGCTGCAGATGTGGAGCACGCCCGGGATAACGATTCTGACTGTAAGTCATTTCCACAAGTTATGCGTACGAGAATTCAACTCATTCTCATCGAAGCGGATATAGAGAGCGCTTCAATGCCTGTCTCGTCCATTCTCACCCGTAGCAAGCACTTAGAGTAAGTTGCGCCGTCCATTTTCTGGCGCTTTCCGAGACTTATTGGCCGCAGTACCGAGCGGACAGATCCAACTCTCGAGACCTCTTTCATAGAGCAGGCAAAGCGAAAGCCGAAAGAGCTGGAACAGAACATTCCTCAGTACCACGATGATCTCGGGCATGGCGCAGCTGTCGAGGTACAGAGTCAGAAAGAATGGACGCCATTGCATTCTGCCGCGCAAAATGACGACATTAGCACTGCGCGCACCCTTCTTGAGCACGGTGCGGCCGTCGACGCTCAAGACCGGTACAAACAGACGCCGCTGCATTTCGCCGCGCAAAATGGCCATATCGAAATCGTACGCGCCCTTCTCGGGCACCGTGCGGCCGTCGACGCTCAAAGCAATACCGAAGATACACCGCTGCATTTGGCCGCGCGAAACGGCCATGTCGAACTCGCGCGCGCCCTTCTCGAGCACGGTGCGCCCGTCGACGCTGTAAACTTGTACGGACGGACGCCGCTGCATTTGGCCGCGCAGAACGGCCATGTCGAAATTGCACGCGCCCTTCTCGAGCATGGTGCGCCCGTCGACGCTCAAAACTGGTACGGGCAGACGCCGCTGCATTTGGCTGCGCAGAACGGCCATGTCGAAATTGCACGCGCCCTTCTCGAGCGCGGTGTGACTGTTGATGCTCAAAACCCGGACGGACAGACGCCGTTGCATTTGGCCGCACAAAACGGCCATGTCGAAATTGCACACGCCCTCCTCGAGCACCATGCGGCCGTCGATGCTCAAGACCGGTACAACCAGACGCCGCTGCATTTGGCCGCGCAAAATGGCCATATCAAAATCGTACGCGCCCTTCTCGAGCACCGTGCGGCCGTCGACGCTCAAGACCGGGATGAAAGGACGCCGCTGCATTTGGCTGCGCAAAACGGCCATGTCAAAATTGCACGCGCCCTTCTCGAGCACGGTGCGGCCGTCGACGCTCAAGACAAGGGCGGACGGACACCACTGCATTTTGTCGCGAAAAACGGCCGTGTCGAAATCGTACGCGCCTTTCTCGAACACCGTGCGGCCGTCGATGCCCAAGGCCAGGACAAACAGACACCACTGCATTTGGCCGCGCAAAACGGAAATTTCGAAGTCGTACGTGCCCTTCTCGAGCACCGTGCGGCCGTCGGTGTTCAAGATAAGAATGGACTGACGCCGCTGCATTTGGTCGCGCGAAACGGCCATGTCGGAATCGCACACGCCCTTCTCGAGCACCGTGCGGCCGTCGACGCTCAAGGTCTGGACAAAAAGACACCACTGCATTTGGCCGCGTAAAATGGCCATGCCGAAATCGCACGCGCCCTTCTCGAGCACCGTGCGACCATCGACGCCCAAGACCGGAGAGAACGGACACCACTGCATTTGGCTGCGCGAAAAGACCGTGTTGAAATCGCACGCGCCCTTCTCGAGCATGGTGCGGCCGTCGACGCTCAAGACAGGAGAAGACGGACACCGCTGCATTTGGCCACGAAACATGGTCATGACAACATCAGACGCATCCTTCTTGAGCACGGCGCAGCCGTCGACGCTCAAGACCAGAAAGAACAGACGCCGCAGCATTTGGCCACGAAAAACGACCGTGTCGGCTTCGCACATTTCCTAAAGGGAAAGAGCGCGAGAAAGTCGCGGTCGGATTTTGATTAGCAGCTGCCTGCGACAAGCTTCCGTGACAATTTCGCGCACGCTGCTTGATAACTATGCACATATTCCTGCTAAATTCTGCTGTATAGACTGCACAAAAATGGTCTGGTGTACATTTAAAAGATGAGTAATCAAAGATACGGAGGCGATGACTCTTTCGCGAGAGAGAGTGTGTGAACATGCAATGCCGCCGAGGTATTCTCAGTGGCTATTATGATATTGCAACGTGTGTGACCGCTAGTAAAGTCTTTTCAGAAGGAGAGAGGCGGGGTGGCGGAGGTGATGAAAAAGATGGTGTGACCAGTCAGAGACGTATTCGGCGAGCTTGAAAAGGCAAGGTTTGCAGGAGCACGGGGTATTTGCTGATGTACAGTCGGAAATCCCTGGACGACCAATGGTCCAGAACTTGAATACGACTGTCAGGCCAGCCATGTTGAAGCGCCTAGTGGCTCTGGCTCGGCTTTCCGCCCGGCATGGACTTAAGGTGGACATCTTAGATTAGGCGCTGCTAATACGTAGATAGTGATTGGACAATCATATGTAGTGCTCCCACACATGGACCTCTTTATGGCAGGCTTCCCCATTCTAGCGGACTTTCAATTTTGCTTCCTTTTAGTATATAAGGACTCCTCTCGCATCCCCACTCTGCGTGCTCTTTCCCTTCGCACTCAGAGTAAGTCCCCTTCGTCGCCCTTGCGCATTATGTAGTATGCTTACCGGACCCCTGTCTAGCTAACACCGTGTGTATTAGGTATATAGCTATACAGCGTGCTCTTTCCCTTCGCACTCAGACTAACACCGTGTGTATTAGATCGTGCCCGCGTGCCACTCGCCAGTTCGCGCTCGCGCAGCCCAGTCGTCGTATCACGACAATAGGTTATGAGCCCCGGCTTGTAACTGGCCCCCATCTACCCTCCATCCCTCACGAGTCTTCACTCGGAGAGATCCGGCACCAGCCGCACATTAGCTCCATAACACCTCAGGGTCTTTACCCCAAGTGTTACTCCACATCGCAACACGGACACTAGAGATCCTCTAGTGTATGTCTAGTCCATCTGCATCACGCCCACCTTCACCAACTGCACCGACACCTGCACCTGCACCTGCACCGGCACCCCGTCCTACACGTCGCACTCCCGCTGCTCCCACTACACCCTCTCAATCCGCGTCCACCGCACCTCACCGTACGACAACCATGTCCTCCGCCTCCGCATTTGCATCAGCCACCGGTCCGCCGTCGATGAAGCTCGACGCGATCGGGAAGCTCAAAGGTTCCAGCGACTACCCACGCTGGTCCCTGATGATGCAGCAGTACTTCATTGCTGCACGCGCATGGAAGGGCGTCGACGGCACCGAGAGAGCCCCTGTCCCAAGCAGCTCCGTCTCCGCTGCGGACATCGAAGCATGGGAGACAACAAACGCATACGCGAGGTTCTACATCCTCAGCACGCTCGGCGACGAGCTCCTGCACCTCGCAAACCCAGTGGACATCACAGCCGCCGCGCTGTGGAAGAAGCTGAAGGACAACTACGCCGCCTCCACCACCATGTCGGCATTCGTCAAGTTCCGCGCGTACTTCTCGCACGTGATCACGGACAGTGATGACCTCGCTGCTCAACTCGACGAACGCGCTGTCATGCACCATAATTATAAGTATAGGAAAACTAAAGGAATAATAGGTATTCAAATCAAAAAGAAATCGCTTACTCAGAGCTGCAAAGTAAGCATAAACACTTAAGCTTACTAAAAGTGAATCAATGACTAATAATATGACTCAGCTTCTTAGTAATCTAGAAACTATGCTTAGTAAAGGTCTATGCTCAACAGCTATGAATTACCAAAATATAGTAATACTCTAACAAACATTAGTAATAGCTTACCAATACATTAGTAAAACAGACAGAAGGCTGACTAATACAGACAAAATGCTTATTAATAAAAGTAGAAGTAGCTTAGTAATTACAGTAGAATAGAAGAGCCAGTTTTGCTATTGGCTAAGGAACAACAGGCTGAAAGGTATAAATAGGAGAGGTTCTCTGAGAGAGACGAAGACACCAACCCACCAAGCACCACACACACTCTCAAGGATTTAGCTAGCAGCAAACCTGCAGTTAATCCCCTGAGCTCTTTAGCTCTCAGAGAATAGACTCCTTTCTTTAAAAGCCTAGGAAATTCCTTAAGCACAGTAGAGCCTCTGACTTTCAAATAACCTGAAGGGAAACGCCCTTGGTATAGTGCACGGGTTCACTATTTGACTAACCCTAGACTGCGAGAGCTAGTGGCGTCATTATTTGAGACTGTGGTACGTCTCCTGTAGAGCTTACAGTAATTAGACTAGCAGTAAAGAGATTAAATCTATTCTTGATCTTTAACTCTAAATTGGAAGCTTCAGACTGCTTCAAGTTATACAAAT